ATTCCTACCAATTCCTGTCTCCTATAGGCACTGCACACACACCCCCTCATACAGCGAAGGACACAAAAGCTCAGAGACTGAATGGCTTGCTCTAGGTCTCCATATTAGTGAGTGGCAGGGGTGAGACTTGACCCTACTCTCAGGATTCCCTAAAAGCCCAGTTTACATAAGCCTCCTACACCCATGCAGGACATGTTATTAAACAGTAAGCCCAATTCACAGATTTGAGACCTGAGTCACAGACAGGACAAGTAACTTCGAGGTCACCCAGCGTCATCCATGACAATACCTTAAACACCACCTCTAGTAATTAAAGATTTAGATTGCAAACTTCTGTTTAGGAGTGAATTTACCCCAAACAGTCAGGAAGGGGGTATATAGAACAAGCAACAGCAAACTGTAAAGTCCGCCCAGCTTGCGTCTCTACCGCATGTCCCCTCTCAATTCTCAGATGATCCCCATCCTGGTAGGGGAAGGCCGTTGCTGTATCTGAGACAGAAGGGCACAAAGTCCAGTCCAGGCCTTGCTCACTGAGATGCCTGCCCTGCCTGTGACATGGGAACATTAATAGGTAATGACTCAGAGGAGGAGCCTGGACAGGGAAATGCAGGGGCCCGAGGCCGTCGAGAACCAGGAAAGAAAGAAGAGGGGCGAATGTGTAGTCAAGCCAGACATCAGGGACCCTGGGGGTGATTCTCTCGAAAGAGGTAAAGTGCAGGTAACAGCCCTGCAGGAAAGCTAAAGAAAAGCTGAAGTTACTCCTAGACCGAAGCCAGGAAAGAGAAATTCAAGCTGAGACAGGGGACGGGAGCCTTTAAAGTGGGTTGACTGAAACCTACACTCAGCAAATGTTCAGGACAGCTGAGATGTCTCCCCACACACACATCCCCGGGCTCACAGTGCACTTCTCAACACAAATGGTTCCCTTAATATTCACCAGCTCCCCAGTCCTGCTCAACTCTCAGTCACTTCTCATCCCTGGGAACGGGAGCCGGAATGCCCGAGGCGTCCACCCTTGCTGCCCCTACCAAACCTTGATCCCAACGCTCTGTGCCCAAGGCCTGCCTCCCACCCTTACAATAAGCCACGAGAGGGAACAGACTGGGCCTGACACAAAACAGGTGCTCAGAACATGTTTTAAGTGAATGGTTGATCCCTGCTGCTGGACCTAAACTCTTGACCTGTAACCTCTGGGGTCCCACAGTGGGGCACCCAATCCTTGCTTTAGGCATTCTACCCCTCGGACTGGAAAGGGGTTCATCTTGGTGTCAAGCCCCAGAGTACACAGCTCCCTACTCCTCGGGCAAGGCCTGTGAGTAGCTGTTGACTGGCTTCGCCCCCATCTGGAGCCTGGTAGGAGGTCCACCCCTGGGCCCCTGCCTCTCGGTGGTCTTCCGTGGCCTCACAGATCCTGCAGTCCGGGAAATACGTTTGGAAGTTCCTGACTTCAGTAAAGGTCTTGGAGGACTTTAAAGAACCAGTGTGGCCCCTCCCCAGGACATACCCAGGGAAGTAGGATTCTACTAGAGGGGTCTGTCAGACCAAAGCCAGGCTCTTCACACCCTCAACCCCTCCTCGGTCCTTCCCCTGAAGCTGGGCTGCACTTTTTTAAACCTGTCCCTCTGCCCTGTAGAAATGTCCGGGTGCTGGCAGGATGCTCCCGGTTACTCTGGAAGTCAAAGGCCAAAGAAAGGCCCAGTTTCCCTTCTCTCTGCCTGGCCCAGACACTTGCTGGGGTCCAGGAGACCCCTAGAATGGGGGCACCAGTAAGGAAGGAACTTTAGCACTGTCTGGGTTCCCTGTCCAGTTTATCAGCCCCTGGAGGGCCAAAGGAGAAGCGACATTTTCTGGGGAGGGTCATTTTGGAAGCTCACACAGCGGGACTCCTAGCGTTCCCCCCTCATTCTGCTGAGGACCCCCCAACTTCAGAAGTTCAAGCCTGCCCAAGGCCCTCAGACCAGGGAGAGGGTCCTTGTCCATCTCCCACCCACCGGACCAGGGACTCCACAGTCCACAGGGCTCGAGGCACCTCTTAGCTCTGACCTTGTGTCGGAATTCCCGGGCCACCTTCCGGTCCATGGCTGAACCTAATCCAGTTGCGTCCCGCAGCTCAACCCGCTCCTTAGGGTGCCGGTCTGCGATGATGCCCGGGTGAGTCAGCCACCAGACCGAGGACACGCCTTTCCCGGGGCTAGGGGCGGGGCCTGGGAGAAGCAGGGGCGGGGCTGGGAGGAGAAAGGGCAGCCTGGAGATGGAGTCACCTGTCCTGGAGTTCAGCACCGAGGCTCTGAAAGGAAAGGGACTCCACTGTGTGGAAGTGCTAATGGGGGCTTGGTTAGCGAGGCTGGCGGGTTTTTGGAGTGGTTCCCCCCACACGTGGTTAAGGCAGAAGACTGAGGAGAGGAGACTTCTGGCAGAGGGGGTCAGAGGTAGTTTGGAACTTCGTTTCCTTTTTCAAAGAGTGCCCCATATAGCCCCGGCAGGCCTTGAACTCAGTATGTAGCCAAGGAGATGGTCCCCCGAAGTCCTTGCCTCTACCTCGCAAATGCTGGGATCACAAACCTGGCCCAATGTGTCCAGCTGAGGTTTGGAACTCTTTGTGATGGCATTGGCATAGAAGTTCGGAGATCCTTCATGGAGGTGGACTCACAGGCAGAAGCCATGGCCTTCCTGAGCCCACCTCTCCACCCCCATTCCCACCCCCACCTCCACCCCTTACTCCATACACTTCTCACCTTCTGCTAGGTTTCACCCGGATCTCTTCCACTCACCTTCCCAGTACAAAAACTCCTGGGGGCAGGTCAGGCTGGGGGGGGGGGCAGGCTGGTTCTTTCTGTGTTCCATGGGAGCCTGCCAGTGTGGGGGAACGCCCCCAGCCACTGACTCACTTTCCCTTCCCTCTTCCTTCCCTGCTCGGTCCCCAACAAACCAGGAAGTAACCCAGCACACACATTCACTGGTGTGTGGTGGGGTGTGGACCTAGTGCCTGGCTTTAGCAGAGGAGGTGCCTGACATGTGCAAGCCATGTTAAGGGATGGACCAGGAGATCAACAGTGGCCCAGATCAGGTGGGCACTTAACAGCTGTAACTTAGAGACATGAGAAGCCTCTTCGGATCCCTCTGCCATTTGCCGGGGCTTAGCAAGCAAGCTGTTTTCATGGGTGCTAAACTACGGCCTAGATTAAGATATAAATTATGCCTGAGAAAATAACTTGGAAAATATGATCTGTGTTCTCACCTTCTGATCTAGTTTCACTCTGGCGCTGTGAAAAACACTCTGCCCAGGAGCAACTTGGGGACGAAAGGATCATTCCATCTTGCGCTTCCAGGTCGAATCCATCCTTGACAGAAGAAAAGGCAGGAACCCAAGCAGGAAGTTGAAGCGGAAACTGTGGAGGAGTGCTGCTCTCTCCGGCTCACTCACTCCCAGGCGCGTGCTCAGCTGGCTTGCTTATAAAGCTCAGGACCACTTGTCTAGGGATAGTGGCGCCCACAGTGGGCTGCGCCCTTCTGCATCAATTAATAAGACAGTCCCCCTAGACACGCAAGCCCACAGGCCAGTCTGATCCAGGCAACTCCTCAGTCAAGGCTCTTTCCTCTCAGGTGACTCTAGGCTGTGTCAAGTTGACAGTTAATGGAAACTAAGATTCTTTGCTATTTACTGGGTAAGTCGGAGAGACCTCTGAGGCGTTTAGTGGTTCAGAGAAGACCACACGAGATATAGTCCTCTTTCAGTTTACATCTTTGAGTCTCCGCCTGTCTTTTCCTACTTCTTCTTTTTTTTTGAAAGTTTATTGATTGATTGATTGATTGATTGTGTGTGAGTGTTTGGCTTGCATGTAGGCGTGTACACTATGCGTGTGTGTGCCTGGTGCCTGGGAAGGCCGAAGAGGGTTCCTAGAACTTGAGTTATGGTCAGTTGTACACCATGTGGGTGCTGGGAACTGAACCCCAGTCCTCTGCAGGAGCAACAAGTACTCTTCACCCCTGAGCCATTTCTCCAGCCTCTGCTGCGTCACATGGCTGTTGGTCTCCTATTTAGAATCCAGAACAAAGAATGTTCTTACCCAGAAGAACGCAGCCCACAGCCAGCTGGCCCTTCTTTCCGGTGACCATAGACACTTTAAAAAACAAAACAAAACAAAACAAAAACCTACTCTTTATTGATTTTTCGTGTGGCACTGGGTCCTGATTCTCTTTCCACAAATGCCTCTGCTCTGAGACCACCCTGTGTTCTGCAGGACTCTGTCGGTGACTCTCAGCTGCTGTCCCCAAGAGGCCAGCTTACCCACCATGTGTTTAGAACAGTAAGTGGCACAAAAGAGACTCTCAACACATCTGCTAAATGAGTGTGTGCATCCCAAATTATACCCCTCCCCGGGGCTTTGTAAGGGGCCAAGTCTTCCTGGACATGAAATACCTCTTGTTCATAAAACCAAAGTTGTTGTTGCCACTCTGGCCTTGATGGGGACAGCAAAGCCCTTTGCTCACACACAGTATTTCCTGAGCCAGCACTGGCATCCTGAGGACTAAGGCATGGCCTTCCCCATTTGAGCCCTTACCGAGGATAAGATGGTGACTTGGGGCCCAGATGGAAGCCAGAGTGGGCAGCTATGGAAGCACAGACTGGGACTCTGCAAGCCCGAGCCCTGCTCTGCCACTGACTGCCGAGTGGCATGTCCCAGGCCGAGTGTAGCCTTCTATAAACGGAGAGAGGGTAGGTAACTCCGGACTGTACCAGAACGTCTGTTTTCTAGTGGAAGGGGCTTCTAGGACCCAGGTGAGGGAACTGGAGTCTGTGCTGGGTGCCTCCTTGCTCCCCCAGGGGACTTCCCTGGGGAGGGGTAGTTACAGTGGCTACAGCCCGGCTTTTAACTTATGGTAATGAGCTGGGCAGCCCTGTAACTCTAGCTTGGGGAGGAGTCAGGTGCCTGGGAGGAGGGCCTTAAGGAGCTGCAGGGCTGAAAGCCGAGGGACAGCTGCTGCCCGTGGAGGTGTGACCCACCTAGGAGCAGAGCCCAGCGGCAGGCTCTCCCGTCGCCTGGCACCCCGATGGGAGCCCGTGCCACCGGACTACGCTTGCTTCTCTCTTGTTTCTGTCTGTTCGGCGTTGAGCCTGCTACGGAGTTCATGCAGGTGCAGCGTCAGGGTGAGGAAGGGCCTGTGAACTGGGGAAGCCCGGGGCTGGGGGGATGTTTAGGGGAACAGGTCTGGGCAGGCTGAAGAGAGCCAGGAGACAGATGGTGTAAGGAAGGGCAGAGACCCGTGAGCGGGGAGGCAGATATCGAGACGGCCGTGCCTGGGACCCAGATGGCCCTAAGTTAGTTGAGAAGAGACCCAAGGTGGAGAACTAGAGAGAACTGAGGCCCAAGGAGTAGAAGGAAAGAGGGAGACCTTCTCTGGAGAGTCCTGGGAACTGGAGAAGGGACTTGAGACAGCTGGAGGTGGAGCGGAGGCAGGCAGTGCTGGGTTTTGGGGGTCAGCGGGAGAACAGGGCAGGAGGCCCCGCAAAGGGGGCTTACCTGGAGTGGAGACCACCATCCCTCCTTAGCACCAGCACTTACATGGAGAGCCAGTACAGAGCTGCAGCCGGAGCCCGCCCCTGAGCCCGCCCCTGAGCCCAGGTGAGTGCGTCTGTCCACTGCCTCCCACCTTATCTCGGCACAAACGGTCCAGGGGCTTAGCATACAGGGAGGGCTGGGCTCCGGGGTGAGTGGAAGCAGGCCTGCTCCGACTCCCCACCTCTGGCAAGCTCATTTCTCATCTAGTCACAGCTACCAGGAGATGTCCCTTGCAGAAGATGTCACAACCGCGATGGAAGGCCAGGTAAGAGATGCCTGGGGGAGGGGGTGTCGCTGGGGAAGGGGCTTCTTTCTGGGCCTGAGGTAATCACAGATCTTTTTGGAGGGTTTATTCAGAGAAGAGCTAACATTCCTGGGGTCTGGATGTGCAAATTCGTGAAATCCATGTGTTTCTCTTTTCCTAGTCTCTTGGGTCCCTAGTGATTTTTTTTTTTTTTTTTTTGGAAAGGTGGGCACAAGGCTCTTTCGGGAGATAGCTGAGTTCCCCTCCACCCCAGAGGACAGCAGGCAGCTGTGGGTTTAAGAGGGTGGTGTTCTCCTTCTCTCCCCTGTCTGGCCCGTGAGAACTGGAAATCCTATTTCAGGCTCCTCTCCATACCATACCTTGTGCAGTGCCCCAGGAAGGCAGCTCAGAGAGGCAAGACCTGGGCCACCTGCTGGGGGCTGCGAGGAAAGACCAGTCAAGGAGCAAAGGCCAGAGAGGTGGATAGAGCTTGAGGCTGTCCTCTGACCTGCATACTCTCACGTGTACACAGACACACACACACACACACACACACACACACACACACACACACACACACAGAGAGAGAGAGAGAGAGAGAGAGAGAGAGAGAGAGAGAGAGATGCACACACACAGAGAACACACACACACACACACACACACAGAGATGCACACACAGAGAGAGAGAGAGAGAGAGAGAGAGATGCACACACAGAGAACACACACACACAGAGAGAGAGATGCACACACACAGAGAACACACACACGCACACACACGCACACACACACACACAATCCGCTGACTTCTGACCATCCCCTGGGGCCCACCCTCCCGGGATCCTTTGCTTTTGAAGGTTTGTTTTCTCCATTTGCCAGACTTTGGTGATCTCTGGATTGGATGACTCAGATTCTCTTTCTAATCCTGGCTTCCACTTGTCTTCTTCATTCCACAACCACAGACACCTTACACATCAGTCCACCGATGGTGAAGCTCCTTCAGAAGGCTTGACCCTCAGCTGTGTCCAGCTCCCTTTGGGCCAGCGAGTTAGGGGGAATGATTTATACTATAAAAACTGTCCCTGCTCTCTGCCCTGCATGCACAGGGTGCAGAAGCTCAACATGGGCAGATGCAGCATGCTCCTGTCCAGGGCTTGTTCTTCTTCTCATCGGCCTGCTCTTCCAGGCATCGGGTTCAGGATCAGAGTCCTATACTATTTGAGTTGAAAAGTGGAAGTTGAAAGGACTTTCTTCTCGTAGACAGGCAAGCTGACTTTTTGGGACCCCACAAGGAGCAGGTAGACCAAAGTGTTGTTGGAGCCAGGTCTGCCCCTCTGCCCACGGGACTCTAGAAGTTTGTGCATTTTCACAGGGCCAGTGACTCTTACATCCATACGCCTCATTCCCACTGGACGGTATGCTTCCCTTGCTGGTTTCCTGGTTAGGCAGCTTCACCCATTTCCACTGAGAGAGGTCTGGTCTTAAGAATTTCTATTGCGAGGATAAGATACCATGACCAAAAGCAGCTTGGGGAGGAAGGGGTTTATTTCATCTACAACTCTCAGCTCACAGCTCATCACTGAGGGAAGTCAAGGCAGACAGGAACCTGGAGGTAGAACTGAAGCAGAGGCCATGGAGGAATGCTGCTTACTAGCTTGCTCCCCATGCCTTTCTCAGCCTGCTTTCTTAAACCATCCAAGACACTTGCCCAGGGTTGGTACTTCTCCAGTAAGCTGTGCACTCTCAAATCGATTATCAGTCATGAAATTCCCCCACAGACTGGCCTACAGGCAAATCTTATGGAGGCATTTTCTCAGTTGAGTCTCTCTTCCCAAATGACTCCTGCCTGTGTCAAATTGACGTGAAACTAACGAACACAGGTCCTGAGCATCTAATCTAGGTAACACAGGGAGATAGCTCCCATTATTCCAGAGTTAAAAGGACTGACAGTACTCTCCCTCTGTAGTAACTGGGGACCTCACGCCCATGTATTGTGGATGCTTTGGGGATTTCTATCCAGAATGCCTGGTCTGAGAAAGTAGGGATGGGTCCCAGACTAGTAGCCAAGCAAGCTTACTTTCTTTTCTTTTTCTCTTTGGAGACAAGGTCTTGCTTCATGGCTGTGGCTGGCCTAGAACTTGCTATATAGACCAGGCTGGCCTTGAGCTCACAGGATCCACCTGCCTCTGTAGAGCTCAGGTATTTTCCAGAGGACTAGAGGTGTAACCAGGAGGCCATGAACCAGGCTGAGGAAAAAGACACTGTTATTTCAAACACCAAGTGAGGTTTAGCATACTTTCGATTACTGCTACTGTAACCACAAGAGTATTAGCAGTGCCAATTACTGAAGGGAGGCACAGGGGTTTCCTATCACCAGCAGATGACAGTTACGTTTGCTACTCTTAAAGATGTACAGTTTTACTCAAGCACACATCAATAAAAGGTTTTCATATTTACATTATAATATAATTGGTTTCCTTTGTAATCTTAGATTTTATGTATTTACACAATTTTATGAGACGGTGCCACCACAGGCCTCACTAGACTGTTAAAGGGGTTCATGACATGAAAATGATTACAAACCCCTGGTTTGTCCTGAGGACCAATTATTTGGACGAGATTTAAAGAATTCTCCAAGCCAGGGGTGATTCCAACACTTGGGAGTGGAGGCAGGAGGGTCAGGAGTTCCAGTTACCTTTGGTGAAATATCAATACAGTAAAATCAAGAATTTTCCAGGAAATGGCTTTGGTGCTTTGTAGCTTAGAAGCTGCATCTGAGGTGGTATGGTGGCTGCATTTACAAAGGCTGTGCTTGATTAGAAGCTGTCCAGGGACCATGGGAAGAGGGTGGCAACTGTTCCCTCCATACACCCTTTCCCATTCCCCGAGGTCTCCGAAGGCCCGGAGGATTGCTAGCAAGGTGGGACACCTGATTTCTGGGGCTACGTAAGAATTTCTGGGGAGATCTGGGGAACCAGGGGCTAAAGTGGGGCAGGAACATGGAAAACTTATAAGGATTGGTCAAGGACTTCCCAGTCGGTGAGAAGGAGGTGGTTTGAGCACCTGGTGGATCGGAAGTCAGACTTCACCTGCCAAGGTGGGGGGGGGGGGGCGAGCTTGGCTGGGCTCCAGGCTTCCAAACATTCCTTTTGTTCTGAATCCTCTGCTGGAAGCAGGGCTTCATCTTGGGCATGTTTAGATGCTGAGAAAGAAGACATGGGAACCGAATACCCCGGTGCTCAGAACTAATTGTTCTCTGTCCCTAAAAGGAGGCTGCAGCCCCAGATGCGGTGGCCATGTCTTCATGGGAAAGGCGTCTCCATCGGGCCAAGTGTGCACCATCTTGTGAGTTGCGCCCTTCTCGTGACCCACGTGTAGGAGAGTCTGGGAAGGCACCACTTGGGAGCCCCTTTCTGTGCATGGAGTCCCTTCCTGTCTTCCCCAGCTTGGCCTGCAGGGCCTCTCCGTGTCCTGCTCACATGCTCATGGCCTGGCTCCTGCTCATACTGTCTGACTTGTGAGATGGTTGGTCCCTCACCCCACCTCACACTTCTTCTGGTCTTGCTTCCTACTTCCTGTGGGGCGGTCCTGCAGTGTGTTAATTCCTGTGGTCTACATCCTCACCTCTCCTGTATCTAAGGCCTCCTCGCCTACCCCGACACGTATGTCTAGTTGCGTGTCCTGTGTCTGTGCTGCCCCCATTGGGGGCAGTGTTCGTGTGCGTGTCCTGTCCATGACTCCTTCCTTCACCATACTCTGTCTCCTCCCCATGTGTGGTCATTCTCTCTCCTGTGTTCTCACACTCATCCAGGTTCATACTTCGGCCTCTTCTTGAACAGTGAATGCACGAGGCAGCCTCTCCCTGCTCCCCTCAAAGCCTTCCTAGTCTTGGTCTTGCTGTCTTGCCTGTTAGCCAGAAGCTTAGCTTAGTTTAGGGAAATGGAGTCCCAGGTCAAGTGGCCTCAGGGCCACTTCACGCATACTAAGGCTAAGGCTCTAAGACCGTACCCTGAATTTCCATCAGAAAATGGACTGTGCCGTGGTCTTATGCATCCCGTGTGGCTCCCGTCAGGCTGGCTGTCTCGGGCAGAGGCTTCACTTCCCTGGCGCCTGCTGGGAGGAGGTGTGTGTCTTGGTTCTGCTGGTCTGGGGCAGCGGGGAACCTCCCTGTATCTCTCTTACAGACTTGTTCTCCTGCTTCAATGGGGGCGAGTGTGTGCACCCAGCTTTCTGTGACTGCAGACGCTTCAATGCCACTGGACCTCGTTGCCAGTTGGGTAGGTCTGATCTCTCCAGCCCCAGGAGGGACTGTGGGTTCAGAGAAGCTGTAGGTCCAGGAGCTGAGAGCCTGGGGGACAGAGGTGGCCCTGCCAGGTCTGGAACTCAGCCTCCAGCACGGTGCTCATGCAGAGCTAGGCTCACTTTGCTCTGTCTCAGTGTATAACGCCGGCCCTGAGCGGGACAGCATCTGCCGGTCCTGGGGGCAGTACCACGTGGAGACGTTTGATGGCCTGTACTACTACCTCTCTGGAAAGGGCAGCTACATGCTGGTGGGACACCACGAACCGGAGGGCCAGAGCTTTTCCATCCAGGTGAGGCCTCCTCTCTTCAGCCCTGCTGGTCCACGCAGGCTCCACTAGGCACTGGGAGCTGGGCAAGGCCGGGACCTTCCTTTTCCACTTTCCCCAGCTCCTGGGACTCCGTGTCTAGAAGGAGCCACAGTCTCTAAGCCCCTGCTCACCACTTGGCCCGGCTGCCCATTTGATCATTTAGTCAGGCGATGGTGCGTACTGTGCCCTTTTTCCGAGTACCGAGTTTCACGGTGGGATGCCCTTAGGACAGACGTGGCCTTTGTCCTCGAGGACCTTCACTTTAATAGAGAAACCACCGCACAGACACAAGTGCCACAGGGAGCTGCGGTGGCAAAGTGTCGAAGCCTGAAAGGCCGCGTCCTGGGCACCTGATCTGGACTCCGTGAAGGATGGCGGTGACAGAAGGTTTCTTACAGGAAGTGACGTTTATTGAGATAGAAAAGGAGACTCATTGGAGGTAGCCAGGGGAGAGAAGTGGGGTTGGGGTGACAAGGCATTCTAGACAGGAATGCTCATGTTAAGAAAGAGTATGGTGCCTTGGAGAGGATGACGGGAATCTTGGGTGACCCTGTGTACACTGCCTTCCCCTGAGAGCCTTCCTGTGTTTCCTGACATCCCAAGCAGCAGAGGAGACACTCTGGGTAAAAGCCCCTCACCTCCCCGCGGGTGTCTTACACCAACTGTTTCCTGGCCGGTCTTCTTTCCCACATGAGACCTTTCTGGGCCAGACCATGTCTTTTGGGCTTGTTCCCTGAACCAAGATGAGTGTGTTTGGGCAAAGCTTGTCAGACATCTGAGTGCCGGGTGAGATTTGGCGTCCAACAGATCTGATGGGCATTTCTGATGAGGGCACCTCGGCTGGCTGTGAGTTGCAGGGGCGGAGGTAGGATTAGGGAGTTCTCAGTGCTCACTCGGGGTCATCCCTCTCCTGGCTGGCTGTGATCCTCCTGCCTCAGGCCTAGACTGAAGGTCATGTCCTGGGTGTCTAGGTGCCATGACAAGCATCACTTCCTACATCTCGGTCTGTCATACCTCAGAGTTATTTGTAATTGGGTCATTTTCACAACTGTTACAGTTACATAGATGTCACCTGAGTGGGTTATGCAATCAATGCAGTGAGTTATACCCTGCATCAAAAAAGGAGAGGCCGGGCGGTGGTGGCGCACGCCTTTAATCCCAGCACTTGGGAGGCAGAGCCAGGTGGATCTCTGTGAGTTCGAGGCCAGCCTGGGCTACCAAGTGAGTCCCAGGAAAGGCGCAAAGCTACACAGAGAAACCCTGTCTCGAAAAACAAAAAAAAAAAAACAAAAAAAAAAAAAAAAGGAGAGAATGAAAAGATACACACACACACGCGCGCGCACACACACACACACACACACACACACACATACACGCACACACAGGCATGCACGCACGCAGGCACGCAGGCATGCATACATCCTTATTAATATGAAGATGTAGAATAATTTTGTTTTGTTTATATATAGACATTTCTTTCTGTGAGTCATGATCAGCAATGCTTGATCTGGGTAGAGTGGCACACACATTAAATCCCAGGATAGAAGAATTGAGGGACAGAGGCAGGTGGATCTCTGAGTTGAAGCTAGCTTGGTCCACGTAGTGAGTTCCTGGCCAGCCAGAGCTACACTGTAAGACACCATTTAAACAAAACCAACAGTGTTTGAAAAACAATTTAGGACGGGGGTGGTTTCCATGATTCCACCTCTCAGTCAAAGAAGCTTCAGGCCGGTCCACCATATCTAAAGGCAACAGAGTGGAAAGTTGGCTCCTGGGGAGTGTCTCCACCTTTCAAACTCTTTCCCGCAAGCACTAAAAACCTGCACCGGCCTCTGGATCTATGGTCCTTAAAGTGTGGGTTCTTGACTGGAGTCAGAGAAGATGCATATGGGATGAGCAGCATGGGGGGGGGGTGTCTCTGTGTGCAGAACAGGGTTAATCTGTGCATGCCAGGAGCGTGTGGGATATAGAGCATGTGCCTAGATGGTGTCCGTGAGCATGTGTGTCTGGGTGTGTCCCAGTATGCACATCTGTGTGACGCAATGTAAGTGCATATCTTGCCTTTTGATTTGATGAAACTTGGAGATGCCCCAATGATCTGGGAAAGGCTCTGGAATCCGACGCATTCAGATCTGGGTCAGAATCCTATCTTTGCTATTTCCTAGTCTTGTGTGCATGCGGCCTTCGTCCCTTCTCTCTGTTCCTCAGACAGTCTTGAAATGCGGGCAGTCAGAGCTCCGCCCCTGCTGCAGTGTTGGAGGGGGGCACTGGGAAGGGCCACAGAGGAAATGTGTTCGGCACACGGGGGCCACAAATCACCCCACATCGGTGCAGTGAAGCTCAGGCTGGCCTGTGGCAGTTGCTGCAGACTGCCCTCTGAATACCTGCCCACCCCAATCAGGTGCACAATGACCCACAGTGTGGCTCTGCCCACTACACCTGTCCGAGGTCTGTCAGCCTCTTCCTCTCCGGTGAACGTGAGATCCGCCTGGCCAAGGAGGTCACCCACGGAGGTGTAAGGTAACTGTGTCCTTCCACTTCCCTGACGTGGGGCAGAGGCTCTCTGTCCCTGTCAAGCTGAAAGGAAATCGGTATCTGAGGGCAGACAGCCTCTCCCACTCTCAGGCAGAAGTGCACACCGGGCCAGTATGTGTCTAGCCTGTGGTACTGGCAGATGGATGCGTGCCTCCTGGTGCTCCGCAGCTATCAGATGCAGTAAAAAATGCTACAGAGCTGAGAGTTTCCCACCGGAAGTCTTTCTCCTGAGCTCACGTACAGTTCCTCTGAACACTCACACGTACTTATCCCTTTCTGAGGCCAGAGGGTCGCATTTGAATGACGGTTGTCATGCTGGACCTTAGGGATTCCTGGGGACACCTGACCCGGAGGGAGCCCCTGTCTGAAGTGTCCTTGCTCTCCTCCTCGGTGCCCTGTCCTTCCTTGCTGTCTGGTGTCCTGAGTCGCTGCTCCCCACCCCCGCAGGCCCAGTGCCTGCCCCAACCCTGGACCTGGCAGGATAGTGCCAAGGGCAAAGCTGTGGCCTGAGGGGTTTCTCCTGCAAGTCAAGTGGGTTCGGACCTACCCCTGGCTAGATGTTGGCTTCTCTGGTCAGCTGGATGGAAGCTGCCAGATTCCAGACCCTGTGGCTGCGAAACCAAGATGGGGCAGGCAGAGCAGGGCTCCTCTCTGTTCCCGACCTTCTGTTCCTCCCCTTGCCCCTGCTCTCGGCACGCTCCCTATAAAACACAGCAAAATGAAAGCCTTTGTGCATGCTACTGTCTCCCTCCCTCCTGTCTGGGAGAAAGGAGCTGCTGGATTGATTCTCTCAAGATTTATCCCTGCCAACCACATTGTGATTTGTTGTTGTTGTTGTTTTGTTTTGTTTTGGTTTTTGAGACAGGGTTTCTCTGTGTAGTTTTGGTGCCTGTCCTAGAACTCGCTCTGTAGCCCAGGCTGGCCTCGAACTCACAGAAATCCGCCTGCCTCTGCCTCCCAAGTGCTGGGATTAAAGGCGTGTGCCACCACTGCCTGGCCACACTGTGATTTTGAAAGACCTCCCTGAAGATAAAAGAATCCTGATGCACTTTGGTGCACTTAGGAATTCTGGGAACATGGAGGATGAGGACATAAGGAGCTCCTATCACTAGGTTAGGGGTAGCCGGCCTTGTGGTGAAGAACAGGGCCCGTGGGAGTTATGTGGGTGCTCTGCAGCCCTGGGCTTTGCTCTCAGGGTCCAGCTGCCACAGGCGGTGGGGGGTGTGCAGCTGCAGCAGCTGGCTGGTTATGTCATCGCACGGCACCCATCAGCCTTCACACTGGCCTGGGATGGTACCTCAGCTGTCTACATCAAGGTGAGCCCAGAGTTTCTGGGCTGGACACATGGGCTGTGTGGGAACAACAATGCTGACCCTCAGGATGACCTGGTGACCAGCTATGGTGAGTCCAAAGGAAGGTACCTGGGGGGATATTTTGCTGGCGATGGAGACTGGGTCAGGATGGGAGTTGGTTGCTCTGGCCAGACCTCTGATGTCATGGTCACTGATGGTCGTGAAAACCCAATGGGATGAGGCAAGGGCTTGCTTTCAAAACTGTTGCGCCAGTTCTCAGCCATGTTCTGGTCCTCGCTCTCCTCAGCTGTACAGTATTCACGATGAGAATCCCACCTGGGGTTGTGTGTAGACCCCCTGCACACTCTGCTAGGCGGGTTTGATCCCACAAGGTTTCCAGAGGAAGTGGGAATCAGGGCCTTAGAGAGCTGGGAAGAGAAAAGGCCGGCCTGGAGCTGAAGTCTCTGGTGGACAGGTTGGTGAGAGGTACAGGTGAAGCCCAGGGCACCACGGTAGCCCAGGCAAAAGCTCAAGGATGCCCTTTTGAGTACCCGCCATGTGCTGAGCACCGTACAGCTGTGGTTCTTGGCGGCAGTCTCCCTGGGGCTTAGCTCCCTTTTCTGCGCAAGGGGAAACTGAGGCAGAGGTGGGTGCGGGTGCTTGTTCAAGCTTGCACACTGTGCCTCTCGGTTGTACCATGTTACTTCTGTGGAGCGTGGAGCAGTTGTGAGTCAGGACAGATTTTAGGACATTCTCATCTCTTCCGATGAAACAGCTTTTCCAAGAGAGTGGCTCCGTTGGGAACCCAGGGGAGGGCAAGAGCGCTGGAGGCTGGCCTCTTCCCAACAGCTTTCCCTTGTCGCCTGCTGCTGCTCAGAGCCGCTAGTCCTACCACTCATGCCTTCATCACGACACTGCTTTTCCCTGCAGGGAAGCTGACTGATGACGTAGGGGAGTTCGTGCTCAGTTGGCAGGAGCAAGCCCCCAACAGCCCGCCAGGACCTGTGACTTCTTCCCTGCCTCGACCACCATGCCTGCAGCAGAGCCCAGCATCCATGCAGGTCTGTGTCCTTGGGAGAACCCCCGCCCTTCCCCACTGCCCTCAGTAGAAAGCTGTTAGTTACAAGGGCCCAAGATGGCTCTTACCCGTGGCCCCTTCCTTTTTCTCTCCACCTTCCTTTTGTTTAAGTTGGGATTCCTGTGGGGATGGTGAATCAGAGAGCCGTGCTGTCCTCCCAGCCCAGCTCCCGCCTCTGCCCCACCCAGGGTGTGTATGAGCGATGTGAGGCGCTGTTGAGACCCCCCTTCGACGCCTGCCATGCCTACGTCAGCCCTCTGCCCTTCACGGCCAGCTGTACCAGTGACCTCTGCCAGTGAGTGGGCAGAGAGAGGATGAGGGGTACTGGATTGTGGGGAATGCCTCCCAATATTGGGATGAGGCTTCAGGATGTGGGTCACCGAGCCTAATAATTCTCGGCCCTAACAAAGCAGCTTGCCAAAACTCTGAAATTCTCACTTGCCAAGATGGGATTCGGCTGTTCCATTTAACTGAGGCCCAGAGCAAATTGTTAGCAATGCTAGGTGTCCTGCTTTGAGTCTAGGGCTCTGTGTAGCTGGATACCTTCCTAGGCGAGGGTGCCCTGAGGTTCTTAGAGTGTCTATGGTACTGGTTCTCAACCTGTAGGTCATGACCCCTTTGGGGGATCGAACAACCTTTTCATAGGGGTCGCCGAAGACCATCAGAAAACAAACACAGATATTTACATTGTGATTCATAACAGTAGCAAAATTACAGTTATGAAGTAGCAACGAAAATAGTTTTATGGTTGGGGGTCACCACAGCATGAGGAAGTGTATTAAAGAGTCCAGCATTAGGAAGTTGAGAACCATTGGTCTGTGGGATGGTGGGCTGCTGACAGGCTGGACTTCCTCACATTCACTCTCTTTGTACAGATCAGGAAGCAATGATAGCACTTGGTGCCGAGCACTGATGGAATATGCCCGGGCATGTGCACAGGCAGGGCGCCCTCTGCAGGGCTGGAGGACCCAACTCCCACAATGCAGTAGGTGCAGTTTGGAGGTGGGTAGGAAGGGGTTCAGATGAGTTCTGATGAGGGTTATGTGTGGCAGCCACAGGCCTCAGCTCAGTGCCCTGTCCTGCTGGCTCACAGCCACAGCTGTCAGAGCCTTAAGCTCTGAGGTTCTGTCCTTGTGACACATGGGAGAACCAAGGCTGATCGTGAAGAGTGGGTCTGTGGCTGCAAAGTGAGATATAGGTGGTTCTCTGAGTGCCCCGGCTCTCACCAGTCTCTTGGGCACCAAATACTCCACCTGGGACCGGGCGGGGATCAGGGACAGGCGAGTCCTCCCATTCCCATCCCAGGACCTGGGGTGAGGGTGGGTGCTCGCCAAGCAGACAGACCACAGTCTTCTTCCCTCCCAAGCTGTGTACTGTAAAGAGAAGGCCTTCACCTACAACGAGTGCATCGCCTGCTGCCCGGCTTCCTGCCAGTCCCGGGCTGCGTGTGTGGACAGCGAGATCGCCTGTGTGGATGGCTGCTACTGCCCCAATGGTTCGCTGTGGGGGAGGGCAGGCAGTGGGGGATTGGCAGTGTCTTCCTGGCCTGGATGAGTGGGAATCAGGGGCTCAGAGGATGCCTGTTTGTGGAATGAATGAATGAAGTAACAAACAACTCGACCAGTCAGTGAAGGACTGGGGGGGGGGGAGGGGCAGAGCTGGGCTTCTTGACAGCTTGACCCATCAAGGAATTTGAGTTCATTTGGACTGAACTTTTGAAATGAAGACAAGCCATCCATTCATTTATATGCACATCTTTTGTTTAAGCACCCCGCCACAGTTACTTCTTCTAATGGTATGTTTTTGATGGATGAGTAACTTGGCTGGACGCAAGGGTGAGATTAAAAAACGTGAATCTGGAGATGCAGCTCGGTGGGGCAGAGTGCTCTTCTAGCATGTACACAGTCCCGCCCCGGGTTCCATCCCAGCATTGCAGAAGCTGGGCGTGGCGGTGCACATCTGTAATACTAGCACTTCGGAGGGGGAAGCAGGAGAATCAGACGTTCTAGGTCGTCCTCAGCTGAATAAGGAGTTCAAGGCCATCCTGAGCCACATGGGACCCTGTCTCAAAAAAGTAAAGTGACAGGCTTTGGTTTTAAGGAGCAGAGCCCGCTTCCAGGACACGGGACTTCTCGCTCCAGCCCAAGGTACCGTGTGGTGAAGGCTGGCTCAGGGGGCGCAGAACAGAGATGGAATGTGGGGAGGCCAGGGACGTTCTCACAGAGGAGGTGGTAAGAGACTGGCATGGGAGACCTTGACAGGTGGTGAGGAACTAGGTTGTATGCAGTTGGGGTGGGTGATACATGGAGTAAAGTCTGCCTGAGCCAGGATCTGGAGAGGGTTTGAGGGTGGACTCAGAAGAGGAAAAAGTTCTGTGTATAGGGAAGCCGCCCAGTGGCTTGTGAACAGAGGAAGTGGTGAGTGAACCTTTGCTATCACACCCTAGGGCTGATCTTTGAGGATGGGGGCTGCATGTCACCCGCTGAGTGTCCCTGTGAGTTCCATGGGACCCTGCACCCACCTGGCTCTGTGGTGACGGAGGACTGCAATGCCTGGTCTGTGTCCACGGCCCGGAGGGAGGAGCCTGGGGAGGCCAGGGCTTTCTGTTGGGTTGCCTACCTGGACTTGAGGAACCCCGAAAAAGCAAGGGCTCCCCACTCAGCCTATTTGAGATCCAAAGGGATGTCATTAGATCCATGGCGGGGGAGTGTGTGACTCTCTACCACCCACCTTAGAAATGGGATACTGTGGGCTGGGGCCTGGGACAGTGTCTTGGCATTGAGAGCAGGCAGGTCACCTTCATGATCTCTGTTTCAGCACGTGCACTGCAGGGAAGTGGGTGTGCAGCTCTTCTGTCTGCCCAGGTACAACTGACCCTTACCCTGGACCTGCCCTCTTCTACTGGTCTCAGGTTTGGGGCAGGGACACTGGGGCCATGCCTAGTCGGGGGCATTTGTTCACCCGCCCAAACCTAATTCCCTCTATTTCCTCTGTTGCTTTGCCTGCCTTAAGGGATCACTCTGGCCCATACCCAGAGTGATATTAGTGGGTCCTGCACACCTCTTGCCTGAACTTGCTGACTGCATTGAGCCTGGACCCCACGCCTAGGGCCTGGTCTCTCCTCAAAGGGACACCCTAGCAGGGCAGTGTCTGGCCTGCTCCTGAGCAGGCTCTCAGCAAACAGGCAACCTAGGCTGCCTAATCCCAGAGGGCAGAGGCTGTGCCCTGCCTAGGCTTGGATCTGCAAGGCTGAGTAGCCCCCAGTCGGGAAGTGGAACAGTCTTGGGGCGGACAGCTTCCGTGAGTAAGTTGCCCTTCTCCTCCCTCAGCTGAGTGCTCGGTGACTGGTGACATCCACTTCACGACCTTTGATGGACGCCGGTACACATTCCCTGCCACGTGCCAGTACATCCTAGCCAAGAGCCGCTCCTCGGGCACCTTCACGGTGACGTTGCAGAATGCCCCATGCGGCCTGGTGAGACTGGGTTGTGTGTTCAAATATGCCTCCCACAGGTCTGAGAACTTGTGAGGAGGACCCCGGGTCTTCCAGTGACTCCGCTGCCTGCTGCTTCTGTTCTCTGGGACACAGAACTGACTCCAAAGACAGTTTGAGTCCAGGCCTTCTGCTGGCTGAGAGTCCATTCCCCTTCCTGGGCCTTGCTTTAAAGAAATCTCTAGAGTGGGTTTGACTTTACTTAGTCTTCTGTGCGTCATTGATTTTTACTTTTTCCATGTCTGGAAGGCGTATTTGTTACTCATCAAACACTGAAAACCTGCTGGGGTCAGAAGCTGTGCTGAGGTCTAAGATTGCTCTGTCTTCTGGGCCTAGCGCTTAGTGGGTCAGGCAGGTGAGCGAACCCAAGACCCGCTGTCATGGCAGCTGTGAGTGTGGATGGGGCAGGGTGGGGAGTCTAGGATGACGTTTTCTTTTACTTGGACATTGAGCAGGAAGACAGACAGAGGGGGTAAGAAAGGGCTTCCTGAAGGCCGTGATCCCTGAGCTCCCCTGTGAACATAACTGAGACACATAAATGGCCACAGCAGATCAGGACAGGTGTGCATTTGTCTGTCTCAGTACTGACTGCATCGTTCCTGGGCTGGCTGTGCTGAGCCAACCCCCAGGGCCTGGTCTGGGCTATGCTCAGGCTCCTCTCTGCACAGTAGAACCAGAGCCTCCCGCCCAGCCAGGTGTCCACTGCCACCCTGAGTGCCTGCTGTCCTTGCTCCAACCCCAGCCCCTGAATGTGAGCAGACCCCAGCTAGGAGTAGTCTGGGGACACAGCCTCTGGACTGTGGACGAGGTGGAGGCTGGCTTTCTTCTTTCGTCCTGAGTGACCTCTTTCCTCTGTGCTTTTGGCTGTTCTCTATGCAGGAGACTGCTTGTCTTCCAAGGTGGGTCACTTGTGTGGCATCTTGAAGGTGAGAAGAGAGGGAGGAGAGAAGGACACACAGCAGTTCTCACTTCTCTCATCCACGCAGCTCAAGAGTCAAGGGCACAGGAGGACTGTGGGGACCCAGGGTGCCTTGCCCAGCCCTCTATCTAGGCAGCTAGCCAGGCTGAGCCTGTCCAGCTGGCCTCATTGCTGGACAGCGCTTCTTGATTGCAAGTTTTTCTGCTGCCTCAAGATGGGGTTCCTCCTTGTTATTTTATTCACCTGATGAACCTATGGGGGTCCTACTCTGTGCCAGCTCTGTGCTGAGGACAGCGAGGGCTATGTAGCGAAATCACACCCAACCCACCTTCAGGTGCTCACAGCTTACAGGGCAAGTCACTTTGGCATGATATACAACACAATCAGAAGTGTAAAGGTGAGTGGTGTAGCCGAAGAAACAGTCCTGAATGTTAGCAGAAAAGAAGGGAAAGCCACGTGGCAGGGGTGGCATTTAACCCAAAGGTGTCCCTACAAAGATAAATACAAAGACAAGGAGGAGGACACTGAGAGCTGATCATACTGGAATGGCCGGGGTGGAGTGTGCTGGGCACAGTAACGGAGGTGATGGTGGTACCCGTGGCACATTTACCCAGTGCCCTGAACTGTGACTAATATCCTTATGTTAGCAGCTAATGCAAGTACACACCAAGGTGCTGGACATTACTATCTCCCCTGTTTAAATTTGATGGGCTGTCTTAGAGGCTTGGGGGATTTCATGACTACCCAAATCTTTACCTGCCTCCAAATTTGAATATTGTCACGGAGGCATTATACCCACCTCATGTGCAGTGAGGTGTTTACAGTCTTCAAGGGGTTTTAAAAGTCAACTTTGAAGCCAGGCAGTGGTGGCGCATACCTTCAATCCAAGCACTCAGGAGGCAGAGCCAGGCGGATCTCTATGAGTTCGAGGCCGGCCTGGTCTGCAGAGTGAGATCCAGGACAGGCACCAAAACTACATAGAGAAACTCTGTCTCAAAAAGAAACAAACAAAGGCCACTTTGTATTTTAGAATGGCTTTAGAGTGTTGCAGAGTTCTTGCAAAGATAGGACTCATCCCACACACCCTGTTTCCCTTGTTAACATCTTATGTTACCTTATGCATTTTTGTTATGTTTTTTTTTTCGTGCTAGAACACCATGGTCAATAGCAGCTTATGGAAGAATTATTTGGGTTTATGGTTCCAGAGGGAGAGTCCATAATGGTGAGGGAAACATGACAGCAGGCAGCTGGAAAAAAAACCTGAAATATCACATCTCAACTGTGCATCAGAAACACACGGGTCGGTTGGAGTTCAGAGTGGGGGCACAGGAAGAAACCGGAAGTGAGCTGAAGCTATAACCTGTCACAGCTCACCCCTAGGGATGTACTTCACCCAGCAGGACTCCTGTCCTGAAAGATCCCCCAAGCAGCACCACAAATGGGGACCAAGTGTTCAAACACATGAGCCTACGAGACATTTCTCATGCAAACCAGCATGGCATGGCACATTATAAGCAACCAATCAAGACTGACGTGTTTCCATTAGCTAAGGCCACGGCTTTCTCAGATTTCACTCAATGTCATTTTTCTGGTCCAGCACCTTACCTCTCTCGGGCTCTTCTTGGCTGGTTTCTCAGACTTTCATTTTTTTGGGATGACCTTGGAAGCTTGTGAAGCCCTGGTCAGTGTAGCAGGCTCTTTTTGGGTTTCTCTGATGGTTTTGTCTCTTAGTGAGGTTTGTGAATAATCACTTTATCTTTGCTGTGATGATCTATAGCTTCTTTATTTGGTCACGCAGGCTGTTTGGCAGATTCTTCATTGGGCTCCTGTGTCCCCTTTATGTACTCATATTACAGGTGTGCACACATGGTCATCTGCACACTTCTTCATTTCTGGCCCTATAGGTCACAACACAACAATATGGCTTGGTTTTCTGTAACATGTACCATGCTAGTGTAAATTAACAAAGGAAACAGGTGAACAAAGGGGATAGGCTGGAATGACCCATGCTCTGATGGATTAGAACTGGAACATTAGTATGAATGCATGCTTGGTTGCCTTTGTGTTTTAGATATATTCCTATAGATCTACACAGAAGTGATGCCTGGGAATGCCGATATGTGTCCATTGGTTATGCAGATACATGCAAGAGTTATCAACTCAGAGGGCCAAGAAGAGATGGGACTCTCAATGGCAATTTCCATCTCCAGTGCTCTGGGTTTCTAAGTCCGTCCTTCAATAAAAGGAACCGGGAGAGTTTGGCGGTATTCTTGAAGGAATGGGATAGGAAATGCGTAGGAAATCATGGCAAAGATAGGATGCAGTTCCCACATATCTCTCCCAGTTTCATGCAACCATAACTCAAACATTGCTTTTTGTGCCTTAGTCTAGTCTTCTGATCTGCAAAATGGTGCTGCCATGTATAGTAGTGCTTAGAAGGTGTGCGCACAGAGTGCTGTGAGGGCTGAGTGATGGAGATTAGACAATCCCTGGGTACTGGGTTAGCTGTTTTGAGCAGAGTAACATGGCAGGATTAAGGCTTGGTGGTCAGGATTATTCTTCACTATTGTCATATGCCCAGGGGACAGCCTTTCCTGCCTCTGCAGTCCCTCTCTGTTCCTTTGTGTGCTTTGCTAATACCCTATGGCTGTTTACAGGAAGCAGCTGCTGCTCCCATTACAGCCAGGATACTTTGTACTTGATTATTTAATGTCTGCGTCTCACACAAATTTGTCATCTCCTTGAGCAGGAAGATGTTCTCTGCCTTGCTCAGCCCTTGTCTGGGAAGCTTGGTGTAGTGCAGTCTGCACATGGCAGATGCTCAGGAAATCTCTGAATGAATGAGATGCAGATGTCTTCCTGTGGAAGAGAAGTATGAATGGGCATGATATGTACCATCCACTTCAAAGGTAGAGAACCTGAGGCCCGGGGACTATTGGCCCATTTACTGCTCTCCACCCCTGCTTTCTGTGGTGGTTGAACGGAACTCCTGACCTTATTTATACCTGCCAGGCAAGGGCTGCACCAGGTCAGCCACACCACGCTGGCCCTTTAAAGTTTTTCATTTTGAGACAGGGTCTTGCACAGTGACTTAGGCTGGCCTTGGACTCACTGTGTAGCTCTGGCATGACTTGAACTTTTTACCCTCTTACATTAACTTCCTGAGCAGACTTGGGTTCCTGCTTGCCTTTCAGAGGGGTTCAAGATATGACACGTGAGCAGAACTCCACGTATCTGGCAAATGGACAATATTAAAGCTCTGGGTTGCAGTCTTGTGAGGGGGCCACAGTTGCCAAGGCTAGACTGAGCTGTCTGGGAACTGCCTCTGTTCTGTGTGGACAACTGAGAGTCAATCATCATGTTCACTGTGTTCATTGTCCAGTTCTGCTGCCAACCTTGTCCCTTCTGGGCCTGACAGATCTCCCAGATGAGAGTATTTTGTTTGGCAATCCTTGATGCCCTTTGGGGCTCTGCTTCTCACTCTGAGGAGCCTGCTCCTCGAGTTGGCCTGGGTCTCTGTCATGGAGGGTTCTGTTTGGACCATCAGGACAGACAGAACCAACCCATATTGCCTGTTGGCCCCTCTTTTTCTCTAGAACCAGGATGGAGCCTGTGTCCAGTCAGTGTCAGTGATTCTGAACCAGGACCCCCGGAGACAGGTGACCCTGACTCAGGCAGGAGATGTCCTTCTGTTTGACCAGTACAAGATCACCCCACCCTACTCAGATGGTATGGCTCAAGATGGTCAAGAGGGCTGGCTGGGGTCTGACAGTTCAGGCCCTTTCCCTAGCCCCTCTACCCAAGGGGACTGCCACAAGGAGACTCCTCCCAGGGATCAGGCTAGGGGACATTGGATTCAGGAAAGTGGACTCCTAACATATAGCTTTGCCCCGACTCCAACACGACAGTGGTCTTCTAGCAGCATGACGGTTCCTCCTGACATCCGCCCATGCATGTGGCTGATTCCCATCTCTAGACTCAGTATTTATTCTCCCTCCTGATTCCTTAATCCATCAGTGAGTTGTGGGAAACCCATAGAAAACATGTTTAGCAGAAAAGACAAAACTACTAAGAAGTAAGATCCAATACCAGAAAGAATTGGAAAGGGGGAGAAGGAACAGAGAGCTGGAGAGGGAAGAGCAGTTCTTGGGCATTAGGAGGTGCAGGGCTGCACCGAGGTAAAGAGACCACAGGAATGCAGGCCGTGAAGCTGTGAAGCTTGGATGAATGTGTGGGAACTGGAGGCAGAGAGATCAGGAATTCAAGGTCAGCCTTGTGTATGTGGTGAGTCCAAAGTAGCCTAGGTTGTGTGAGACCCTGGGTCAAAAAACAATGTGTTACCATTGGATCTAATCCATCATGATTGTATAGTGGGCTCCCTGAAGACCGCCATGCAAAACTGGGTCATTACAGAATTCTTCTGGTGTTAGAGCAAGAAACCGCAGTCCTCAGGGAGAGCAGGTTGTTATTGGGACCGACTATGTGACATTTCTCAGTGGCTTCTCCCGGGGTTTGGCAAACTAATCCCAAGGCAGGGCTTTTCTGCAGGATGAAGCCAGGGCTGTATGTAGATGTGGGAGTCGGCCGACAGGTGATGGAGAGGGCTGGGCTGCACTAACAAGACTACTGACATCTTGTTTCCCATTCTGTGGCCAGATGCTTTTGAGATTCGGAGGCTGTCCTCCGTGTTCCTGAGGGTGAGGACCAACGTGGGCGTGCGGATCCTCTATGACCGGGAAGGGTTGCGGCTCTACCTGCAAGTGGACCAGCGATGGGTGGAGGACACTGTGGGCCTCTGTGGCACCTTCAACGGCAACACACAGGATGACTTCCTGTATGTGTCCCTGTCCCGGAACAGGAAGGAGAGGGAGACTGGTGGGCCCCTTAGGGTCAGGCATCCCGAGACACTGCCTGACACACATACCATTACTTATTTATCCCTCTACATTTAAATTGAAGTATAATTCTTTAAAATGGTGTAGAAAGATCACTTGGGGGATTTGCTTAAATACTGACTCCTGGGAACCTGAGAAATGCCGGAGACCTCAGGCTGGCTTTGGTTAGTCTCACACTTTTATCTGTTTCATTGACTGTGAATACCTTTAGGTGAAGATAACCCCCATAAATCAAGCATTCCCACCTTCTGCCCCAGCAGACCAGTATAACCTTGTCCTGCATGGTGGCTGAATGCTTTTGAATTTGCCCAGTGGAAGCCTCCCAGCATTGAGAAGAAGGCCATTTCCCATGAGCTGACCGTTGAGTGGCTTTCCTGGGTATGGTCACAGTTTAAGAGTTCTGGAGAGACAGCAGTCAGGCCTTTCAAAGGAGAACAGGATCTTGAAGCTGGAGAATCTGGCCAGTTCTTCAAGATACATGCAATGGTTGTCACCGAACTAAACGTGGGAGGCATTCCATAGCCACAGGAGGAGTTCAGCTTTGCAGCGTGTGCACATATGTACAAGTGAAGCTTTCTCCTGTCTTGCCCAGTGAGGCTAGTGTTTGGGCAGCTGGCCAGAGTGGTGGAGGCGGACATTGGGTTCGTGTGGGGGGCTGTTCCACACCCTCCAGGTGTGTGTGAGTCCTGCCTCGTGTAGTTAGAAAACTCACAAGCTGGATCAGTAGTGCAGGCGTGGTGGCCGTCAGGCAGAACCTTGCCCTCACACAGACTTCTAGCTCTTTCGCTTTCACACTCACACTGAGTTTTAGTGATTGTCAGTTCTGGCTTGTCTCAGCTCTCCCTCCCACTCCCCCATTTCCTAACTATATCCCAGGAGGGGAGACGGAGGAAGTCATAGACCGTTAAGGTCTGGTATTCCTTCTAAGAGTTCTAATGCTCTTTCTTACATGAAGAGCTGGGGGGAGGTGCTGAAAGTCTACAGTTCTAAGCCCATTGTGATCCTTTTGGGTCTTGCTAAATGTGCACATCATTAATTGCATGTGTTTGAATGTGTCTCTATCGAATACTTTGACAATTGGTGTGCCTGGCATGCACTTGTGTGGTGTGCGTGTGCATGTGTGTTGATGTGTGCAGAGGGTCTCTACAGGACCAGGTGTGCTCACTTGAGAGTGTCTCAGAGTGCATGCCCATGCCTCCGCTGTGACCACGTGTTTAGATGTAAGCAAGCGGCTGCTTGTGTGGGTAGGTATTCAGTGTAGCCCTATGTCTGAATGGACAAGTGTGCGACCATAGCTTTGCCGTGGCCGCAGGTCTCCAGTGGGTGTGCCTGAGAGCACCCCACAACTGTTTGGCAATTCGTGGAAGATGCTGTCTGCCTGCTCCCCACTGGTCCCTGGCTCCCTGCTGGACCCCTGTGATGTACATCTACAAGCTGGTGAGGAGTGGGGCGGTGGGGAGACTTGGGGAGTGGGGTAGGGGGAGTGTTTTGAGAGAGGGGAGATGGCAACTTGATACAAGGGTGCTGGTCAGATTCATAGGTGTGACAGAGGAGAAGCCGCAGGGAGGGACAGGAGGGAGGGGAAGGCAAGGCAGATGGGAAGCGTCCTGCTCTACCTCTGTCACCTATATTCACGTCAGTACTGGATACCCATCTTAAGACAAAGGCCAAGTCCTCAGAAGTGTTCCAGCAGACCCCTCCATGCCCAGCCCCCTGTTTCCTCTCCCCTCACTGCCCTGCATGCTGCCAGCTGACTGGCATGCTGTCCTTCTGACATGCCAGGCCTGCCCTCCTCCCAGGCCTGCCCTCCTCCCAGGCCTCTGTGGCTCCCCCTCCCCCCGCCACACTCTTACCTCGGGATGACATGCACTTCAGCCCTTCTTTCAAACTTTTGCTCAAACACGGCCTTCTCATGCAGGCCTTCCTAGCCACTTGAGTTCAAGTAGCAGTTGGCCTGCCTGCCCCGCCCACGCTGTCTGGCCTTCCCTAGTTTTCTCGAGGCTTAGGTTGATGTGCTTCTGACTGACTAGCAAAATGGTTTACTGACTCTCTTCTAAGCTGTCTAGCTACCTGAGGGTCTGGAATTTGCTCAGCAATGTTCACTTCTGTGTTTCCTTTAGCAGATAGATCCCTGCCTGGCATGCAGTAGATTAAAGTATCTGCTCATATTCACATGCACACACACACACACACACGCACACGCACACGCACACGCACACGCACACACACACACACACACACACACACACACACACACACACACACACCCCTACAGACCCTGAGGGCGTGGAGGCTGAGTCTTGGGGCAGCAGGCAGCCAGAGCCCTGCTCACTGACTGTCTCTTCACTTCCCAGCCTCCTCCGCACTGCAGTCCTGCAGTGTGCTCACGGGGGAGCTCTTTGCACCCTGCTCTGCATATCTGAGCCCAATACCCTACTTCGAGCAGTGCCGCAGGGATGCCTGCCGCTGCGGACAGCCCTGCCTCTGTGCCACGCTGGCCCACTATGCCCACCTATGCCAGCGCCACGGGCTCCTGGTTGACTTCCGTGCCCATCTGCCAGCCTGCGGTGAGTGCCCCGCCCCTGTACATCCATGGGAGTCTAGATTCCAGACACAGGTGTCCCTTACCCCGCTACACGCTCGAATGCAAGGCCCTGTCTCCTCCGGCCTGACTTCCATTCACCGCCCACTTCTCTTTCTGCTGACGTGGCCCGCAGGCTTGACACTTGACCTGACGTATTGCTCGGGATTTCTTCTCTAACCCATGCATCAGTCCATCGCCAAATCCTGTCCAAATTAGCCCCCTTCTCACCTCCTCTTACGCCGTCTCCATGGGCAGAAGAATGGGTTCTCATAAGAGCAGTGAGGCCGGTTTGAGGTCACATTAGTGTATGACCCTCCATTGCCCTCTGGGTCTTAGTCCTTGCTGCCCTGAGCCTCGCAGAGCCTGGCTCCCTGTGTGCTTTTACAAAGATGTAGAGACAAAGGAATTGTGCTGGGAGCCAGGGGCTCTGAGTTCTACTCCAGCCCGACAGGTAACATGTTGTGTAGACTTGCGCAAAGCTCTGTCACTCTGAATTAGTTTCTCTGGAGGTGTTTGGACAGAGGCAGTGGTTCCCAACTCCAGCTGAACATAGAGACAAAGGAACTTGAAAAACTGCTCACATCTTGTCCACACCCTGAATCAGTGAAAATGTCACTCTGGTTGTGGGTTCCAGATGTCTGCAGTGTTGAGAAGCCATGTTAAGTGGCTTTGATGAGCAGCCTGGCATGGAAAACAGCTGATGTTGGCATTCAGTGGATTTGTTGACCTTGGTGCTGTGTGAGGATCCTGGGGAGTGGGATGGTGGCCCCGTGAGGAGATGGCAGGCCCGAGGCTTGGAACAAAAATCTAAAGAAGCTGCTGGAGAGAGTATATGATCTCCACAGCAAAGGGTGCAAGCCTCTGCATATTCACACACCTGTGAGGAACGTGTGTGTGTGTGTGTGTGTGTGTGTGTGTGTGTGTGTATAATGGCTGGATGCTGAGCCACTGGGGTCTTGACCTCCACTTCTCCCCCGGGATCATGATCAGTGCCTTTTCCAAGCTGAATGTAGTGATGTTCTGGCATTTCAGTACAATGAGAGGCATCTTTGACCTTGAGCTGCTATGTGGGGGCAAATGTCTTACCCTCTCTGATTCTCATTAAAATGTTAAATCCATCCCACACGGTTGTGGGAAGAAGAGAGACCAAGCTCAGCTTTTCTCCCGACAGCACTGTCCTGTGAGGCCACCAAGGAGTACAGCCCATGCGTGGCTCTGTGTGCACAAACCTGCCAGGACCTGGCCAGCCCTGATGTCTGTGGGGCTAATGGTGGTGGCAACTTCAGCAGGGATGAGTGTGTGGAGGGTTGCACCTGCCCGCCGGACACGTATCTGGACACACAAGCAGACCTCTGTGTCCCCAGGTGAGTGGCCAGCCTGGTGCCTGGGTGTGGTGGGGTGTGAGAATGGGCTCTGCTCTGGACAGCTGGTCTGAACTCCTCCTATCCCTGTTTCCCTTAACCTTTTCCTGGGCCTTGTTGGAAGAGGTGAGTTGCTCCTTCTTCTGAACCTGTTCTCAGGCCTCTCTCTCCTTCCCTGTAAAACATGAACCAGTCACAGCACCTCACTCTCCCCAGCTCTCTTCTTCCATGAACATCTGTGTACATCTTACCATGTTCTGGACATTTCTAGGCTTTGAGAATCCATCCAGTAGTGAACAGAGTAGAGTCTAGCTCCCCAAGTCCACAATTCAAGCTGGCAAGATAGACGCCCCCAAAACTGGCACTTAGGGGGCTGGGGTGGTAAGGAGAGCAGGAAGGCCACACAGAGGATAAGGCCAGGAGTCCTGGGCTGTCACACAGAGGTGAGGCGGAAGTGGCATCTGAGTGCCCTTCCCCCAGGTGAGGGAAGGCAGGGAGGGAGTCTGAGGTGAGGTAGCCCAGCTGGAGGAAGCTGGCTCAGTGGGACTGGAGGCAGTGTGGGAAGAGTAGTAGATGATGATCCCACACGATCTTAGGATGACTGGCAAGGATCCTGCATTCTCCGCCTCAGTTTCACTGTCTGTAAAATGGCCTATTAATCGCTTGGAGGTTTTCCAGTAATGAGGGGAAGGAGTTACCCCCTTAGGTGGTCAGGGGAATCTCTCAGGCTTATCACACTGCAGAACCCTCCCTAGGTCTCAGCTGAGTGCCCACTATTGCCCTTAATAAAGGCCTCTGTGAACTAACAGGGAAGATGAGGAGCAGCTGGAGAGCACTGAGAAAGAGGATTCCAGGGTCGCTCCCACGGGTCCCCCAAGCCCTGGCCTGTTCTGATGTAAGACCAGCAGTGTTGGAATCAGCTATAGGAGTTGTGTATAAAGACATCAGCCAGTGAGCTCAGATGAGTCAAAGGATCAAAGACACAGTAACAACATCCTCACATCCCAAGATCCCAGAGAGGAATCCAGGAGACACTGCCTGGGAGGGCTGAGCCTGAGTCTCCAGCCAAGCGTCAAAAGAGTCACTGACCGGTCAGGCCAGATGCTGGGCCAACAGGGCTCCGATGCCACCCCGGAACAGTGGACTGGGGCTGAAAGGTGGAGTCCTGAGCAGGTCACCTCTCTGATCTCGGCTCTGAGTTAGGCTGTTTCTGGGAGGGTCAGTGCTTTCATAAGCTCAAAATGCGGCCTCCAACCTGGCACTGGGTTCTGCCTCTGACCTCAGCACCGGGTGGGCTTTCTGGTCCTCTGGAAGCGTGTTCATCCCAGGAACTGCTGTTGCCTCTCTCCACATCCTCATGCCTGCAGCGGACTGATGGTGGGCCGCCTGACCTGGCTGTCTCCATTCCTGTTTCTGAGTCTGCTCATTTCCTCCCTGCTTTCTGTAGGAACCAATGTTCTTGCCACTTCCAAGGAGTGGACTATCCCCCTGGGGACAGCGACATCCCTTCCCTGGGCCACTGGTGAGCTTCCCTGGGTCTCGGCTGCATGAGAAGTAGCACCCATCCTCTCACTCTGTGTGGGGTGCTGGTGGGGAGCAGGGCTAGTACGCAGGGGTGACTGTCTGAAGCCCACAGGGCCCAAGGGCAATAGCATGTTCTGGGTGGGTCCCGAATGACTGGCCGGGCTGATGTAATTCCCCCAACTCTCTGCAGCCACTGCAGGGATGGAGTCATGAGCTGTGACAGCCAAGCCCCAGGTAAGCAGGGCTGAAAGGGGGGAGTCTGGGGTAGAAGGGGGAGAAAAGAGTGAAGAACTGGGGTGCTGGTCGGGATAGGGGAGCTGCTCTAGCTCACCCTGCCTTGGGTGTTGGTGTTCCTCCACTCTTGGCAAAGGTCCCAGCTTAGAGAGTGGCACCCTGAAACCCCATCCCGGCGTCAAACTGTTGGAGGGCACGCGGGGGTCTGAGCTGCTGCTTATCTTTGCTGGTCCTGAATTCTCCTAGTCGGAACTGCCAAGTATCTTCTGAGACTGGTTCTGCCCAAGCCAGTGGTGGACACGGGCTTGCAGAGAGGAAAGGACGGGACTTTATAGCTCCTCCACAGCGCAGAGATAGGGCAGGGCTGGGACAGCGGTGGGCGGCTGTGGGGTGTCTCCACAGCACAGAGATAGGCAAGGGCTGGGACAGCGGTGGGCGGCTGTGGGGTGTCTCCACAGCACAGAGATAGGGCAGGGCTGGGACAGCGGTGGCGGCTGTGGGGTGTCTGGAGGTGGGCAGAGCAGGAGGGTTGGACATTCTCAGCAGAGAAACCCACTGAGAACAGGGCAGGGATGGGCACAGAGGAGAGCAACAGTAAGCATGTGGCAGGTGGTTAAGAGGCCTTGGGGTTGGGTCAGCTGTGTTCACACCCTGTCCTGCACCCGCCAGCTCTGCAGCCCTGGGTGACATGCCTCACCTCTGTGAACCTTCACCCCCTCTTTCCCGGATAACCCTCCATCCCATCCTCATTCCCCGTGCCTTCCCGGGAGCGTCTTTACTTGGGTCTCTCCGGGCTTGGAATTTCTGCCTCTCTGGGATCTGGCTCTTCACTTCTCTGCTCTGTGCTCTCCTGGCCACGGAACTTTCCTACCTTCTATTGGGTTTCCTAAAACAATCACTCACACAAAGCGTGACCGTGCTGCACGGCAGATTTTGCTGAAGAAGGGGATGGGAGGGCTAGATCAGAGAAACATGCGTAGGGAACTGACTTTCCCTGTTCAAAATTCTCTGGCCACCCTTGTTGACTACTTGACTGTCTATTTTTGGGTCCCTCTCCTGGTCCTTCTGGGGTCCTTCCTCTCAGTTCCCACTGCCTTTAGACAGCAGAATAGCTTTCATAATATCACGTGAGAAGGGAGATGGGGACACCTGCACAGTACTTGTAATAGAAAGTAAGGAAGGTTAAGTGTGCAGGGAATGCATGGTGCAGCCTCCATTAAGAGGTCCTCTTTGGTAATGGGTGCTGCTGGGCGGGGGCTGTCCTGTACCGAGGCAGCACCTATCTACCTTGTCCCTATGATGTGGGACCCACTTTATGCCCAGCAGCTGTCCATCTCTTCCGGTCACCCACGTATCAGCACCTCCAGCCCAGGCCAGGGTCTGCAGCATCTACCCCCTTTTCTTCTAGCTACTTCCTGTCCAGCAGGCCAGGTCTTTGTGAACTGCAGTGATCTGCCCCCGGGCCCTGAGCTCAGCAGGGAGAGGACATGTGAGCAGCAGCTGTTGAACCTGAGCATGCCAGCACGTGGTCCCTGCCTGTCGGGCTGTGCCTGTCCCCAGGGGTACGGATCTACATCGCTACAAACTCTCCTACCTAAAAGGGTGACAGATCAACTGAGTTCAGGGTTGGGGGTGGGGAAGACCTCACACAGCCTGGGATGGAGGACGCAGTGTGGCTGTGTTGCCGGTAGGGAAGGTTCTGGAAGGAACAGAAGCTCAGCCTGGAATGGAGTGCGTCAGGTTCTACTTCTCATGAGCCATGTGACCTTGGATGAGGAAAGCATCTGCTCCTCTGATGCTCAGTGTTTCCTTTGTAATACTTGGCACCGTAGCGGGTGGGTTTAAAAAGGCATCAAAGTGGAAGCGCCAAGACAGGTGTCTGATGTGCCCCAAATGCCCAAGAGACCCACTGATCAAAGATCAGGCACAAGAAAACCTGTGTGGGCTCTCAGCCTCCGTCCCTGACTGGAGCCTCTGGGTAGAGAGGGTGCCCCTGGGATAACCCCAAAAGAAAGCCACATCCAACAAGAGCAGCCTCCTTCCTGGGTCCCCAGATACTGTATGGGGGCTGTGTGGTAGTTACAGGAGCTGGGCTTGTGGATGCGCTCTGTACCCAGGGCCCAGTGCTCAGCTCTGCCAGTGACATTCTCAGGTCTGGGTCAAAGAGGTCCCCGGGCACCACTCTGTCCCATGACCTGGCAGCATGGGGTTGCGCCCTTCAGTCTGTGTTGAGATTTGTGGTCACTTGGGAACCCTGGCTCTGGCCTGACAACCAAAGGGAGTGAAATGGGGTTCAGAGCTTCTGGGTGGATGGGGCAAGAGACGGCACATTGGAGCTCTGAAGTGTGTAAGACACTAAGGTTACCTCTGTCCGTCTCAAAGCAGGGAGGCACTTACTCTTATTCTGCAGAAGACAACACAGGCCAGGGCCAGAGTGGGGAATAGTCTGCTGAAGGAGCCAGACTCTGACCAAGTCTCCTTTATTGCAAACTCTGCTCCTTGCCCAGAGTGGCAGGGTCCACAGTGTGGGGTACGTGCCAGCTCCTTCCCTAGCCAGGGCACTTGCCTGCATGGGATCCTCACCTTGCCTCGCCTGCAGCCATCCAGGTCTCAGACCTTGAAGTGTATCACTGGAGGCCTCTGGGAATACTGTCCTGTTTGCACAAGCTTGGCTCTTGGTCTGAGGTCAGGAATGGCTAGGTCTCTGCAGTGAGGAGCTGAGGGTCTTTCACTGTCCAGAGTGTGACCACACAGAGATACCGGGAAAGAGGCCTGGACTGGATCCTGGCTCTGGTTTGGGTCTGCTCAGGATCATTTGAGGGTATATAGGACACTCTGTGGGGAATCCACCTGTATTCACAGGGGGCTCACCTAAGGGGGATTATGACAAAGGAGACAGTTCTACCATCCTGAAAAATTCTCTGGATGGGAAAGGGTTCTCAAAGATGCTCCAGTTCCACCATCACCAACTCCTCTCCAGGACTCGCTGGACCCACAATTACTTCTATGCTCCCTGGTTACCATGGTCACCAAGTCTGTCCAAATCCATCTAAGAATCTACAGTGCTGGGCACTGCCCCCAATGGACCCTGGGGACATCACAAGGCCTGGGGATGTCTGTGTTTGTCCTAGTCTGCTTCCTGTTGCTGTGGTAAACCACTCTGACCAAAAGCAACCTGGGAGAGGCAAGAGTTTATCTGGAGTGTACTTCCAGGTCACAGTCCATCCCAGAAAAGTCAGGGCGGGAACTCAGGTGGGGACTGGAGCAGCAGCTGTGGAGGAATGCTGCTTACTGGCTTGCTTTCCGGCTCATGTAGAGCTAGCATTCTTAAATGCCCAGGCCTACCTGCCTAGGGATGGCGCTGCCCACGCTGGGCTGGGCCTTCGTACATCATAGCAGATCTAGGAGTGCTCTTCTGATCACTGCTTGCTGTGTCCCTCCAGCCTGCTCAGACATGGGGACGCGTGCTTCCCACCGGAGGAGTGTCCATGTACCTGGAAGGGGAAGGAGTATTTCCCTGGGGACCAGGTGGTATCTTCCTGCCACACCTGGTAAGTCCCCTGAGCTGGCCTCATTTTTTTTTTGCTGGAAAGGGTATGATTTTTCCCTTCATCTTGCTTACATTCACAGTGACTGTTGCACACACAAGTATATGTATGTGAAGTAATACTCAGAATATTTGTGACTGTTTAATGAATGGTCAGACATGTCTATGAACATACATACTTGCATGTGTGTAATCATGAAAATGTGTTTGCATATTTCAATGAGCATATAGACGTATGGGTCTGAATAAAGGCATGTGAGTGAACATACGTGGGCATACATAAAAAGGCAAGTGCCATAGAGCTAAGTAAATTCATTAATATAGCAGTAGTTAGGAATTTACACATGTATATTGGCGTGTTCATATATATTTACATGCATGCACATCTGTTTAGCACATATATGTACTACACTACAGTGAATGTGCATTAAATATATATTTGCATTCACTTGAATGGATATGTGTGTGAATATGTGATTTATGTTTTGCCTTATGAATACAGAAATGCTTATATTCAAAATGAGTGTGTATGTGGGTGTATTTCTACACTGTTCATTCAGTGATATTAGCACGCATATACAGAAGTGTGCACCTGGATTGGATTGGTTTCAGTAGAGACAGGCTGGGGCCCAGGAGCCCAGCAGAGACTCTTAGAGAGTCATCCAGCCAGAGGCAGCTGGCTCCCAGCTCCTGTCTTGTGTATGGTGGAAATGCTGTTTCTTCAGCCCAGAGGATGCACAGGACATGTCTTCCTGGGTCAGCATGGCCACTGTCAAGACTGAGCTCCCAGATTGTTGCCATACACACCAGGGTGTGTGTGTGTGTGTGTGTGTGTGTGTGTGTGTGTGTGTGTGTGTGTGTGTACCACCAGCACCCTGGCTGTCTGACACAGGAAGTCCCAGGGGAGAGGGTCAGGACCCGGAGTCCCTTTCAGGTGTGCTCAGGTGTCGGAGTTCATGACTGGTGGCCGGAGCTGGTTGGTTACAGTATTGAATCTCGCTGGCTTGAACTTGTCAGAGAGTGAAGTCTTCGGCTCTTTCGGTTCTGCCTTTAAAACAGACTTCAAACCTGACTACCTCTTCACCTTCCGACTGCTGGGACCGCACCGAGCCCCGCCCTCTTTTCTCTGGCCTGCTGCTTTGCCTCCCAGGTGGCCTTTCCCTCCCCTCTGCCCAGTACCAGTCAGATGGAGCCACCTCCACCTCAGTCCTCCAGAGGCTTCCTCTCTCGTTCCTAGGAAGAAGTCACACCCTCACCCGCCTTCTTGGACTGCACCACTCAGCCCTCCTCTGCCCTCCAAACCCCTCTACCCTCTTATCGTTAGGCTGTGCATCTCAGCTGTTATCACCTGAGTGTTCTTCAAGGTCAGCGTCGACCACACCCTGTTCCCACAATGCTCTTCTTCCAAATGTCCATGTAACTAACTTTCTCGGCTCCTTGAAGTCTCTGCTCCCTCTTCTCTGCCAACCCTGTTTAAAATGGTGACACATTCCTAAACACACCCTGTTTCCCTCCATGCCCCGCCCCCTGCCACAGTTCTACCCGCCTGCTAAAACAGACAGGGTACGTTCTTCTTCTCTAGGATACAAGTTTCACTAAGCCAGAGGGTGTTTGTTCTGTTTTGTTCACTGATGTTTCTCAAATTCTTGGGAGAATGCCTGAGATGTGTCCATCACCAGCGATCTGTTGAATGAATGAATTAGTAATAAAAGGAGCGCCACAAACTTCCTCCTGCTGGAGGCTGCTATGTCTGAGGAATCCCTTCTTTAGGGGCATAGCCCGTGCCTTCAGCAGGCAAAAGCTTCAAGGGCGTTCCAGCACAGGGGAAATCGTGTTCTGTGAGCTGCCTCTGTGTGGGTGTGTTTCAGCGTGTGCCAGCAGGGTTCGTTCCAATGCACCCTGCACCCCTGTGCCGCCACCTGCACCGTCTACGGGGACCGACACTACCGTACGTTTGATGGACTTCCGTTTGACTTCGTAGGGGCGTGCAAAGTGCACCTGATCAAGGTGAGTTCCTGGGCGTGTTCACCCAGCTGTCTCCATGGACACCCAGAATAGCCAGGGACCGAGACCTGTCAGATGAGTGAATGAGCTGGACTCCAGGCTACCGTATAATTGGGTGGGTGGGGAGATCTAAACCCTGAAGTGCGACTTCCAGAGGAGCCGGTCAGGGTGAAGGAAACCCTACTTCCGGTCCCCACACCATCACAGCCTTGCCCCACTAGTCCTAATGTTTTTTCTGTCTGTGCTAGAAAGAGCCCCTGCCTTTTAAGCTTCGGTAGCAATGTGTGTCTGGTTGTCTAATGCCATCTTTATGGATTCTCTCACTTAATTTTCATGGCAGTGGACAGATTGGGTTAGTTGTCCCAATGTGACAGATGGGACACCGTGGGCCTGGAGAAGTTAGAGAACTTGCTTGTGACACAGCTAGGCAGCCACAGAACCAGGAAACATGACTAGAAAAGTGCTGGGCCGCAGGAGTCACGTGGTAAAACTCTGTTCATGGATAGGAAGAAGAAGGGTGATGTGGGGGGCACAGGGAAGGCAAGAGTCCCCCAGAGGAAGAGGGGTGCCAGCAGGATGTGAGGCAGTGCTGGATGTTCCAGGGACACTGATTTTCTTAGGCCCATCCATCTCATTATATGAGTATCGGCAATAATCATAACGACAAGCAGACATGCACTTATTTATTTATTATTGATTTTTGTGGTCAGGGCTCGCATATGCTGGGTGAAACGGAACCTTTCACATGGACAAGCATTGAGCTAGAGTCTGTCTCGTCATTTCAATAACTCCACAAGATACACACTGTTGAACTCGTGCCATTTGATTTTAGTGTTTTTATTTGTCTGTTTGTTTTGAGATGAAGGACTTGCCATGTTGCCCAAGGTGAATTCGAAATTTTGAGTGGTCTCCATCGTGAGCAGACACACACCGTGATATGCCCATGCCTCAAAACTAATTTTGATTAGTTTTGAGACAGAGTCTCTCTCTCTCTCTCTCTCTCTCTCTCTCTCTCTCTCTCTCTCTCTCTCTCTCTCTCTCTCTCACACACACACACACACACACACACACACACACACACACACACACACATACTGTTTAGTTAACACAAATAAGACTTCACAGTTTTCTTTTTCCATTGGGTATTATCACACACTGCCAGTACGCGCTATGTTATTTTTTTTTTTTTTTTTTTGGAGCGCTATGTTATTTTTAATGCCAGTTGGAACATTCCATGCAGAGAGTACTGTGCCGCACGGGGATGGATGGGCTTTAGCTTGGTGGCAGTACTTCAGTGCTACAGCCAACACTTGTGTGACTGATGTCTTAGTCCTTAGGAGCGGAAGTGCTGCATGATAAGTGATGTGTATCTACCCTTCCATACTGCAAGCTTCCCGCAGAGCACTTACACTGTCTGAAGACAGTCCCCTCTCCTCCCGTTACACCCATTCACTCATTCATTCATCCCTCAGACTCTTTGGAAAAGTCACCACCTGCTAAACACAGCACTAGGCAGCCAGAAAATGAATCTGAGTGTCAGCAGAGAACTGAAATGAGCTGCCCGAAGCCACACAGCTGATGAGACGTAGGTTAAGGACTGGCGAGATTCCTCAGTCAGTAGAGATCTTGCTTTACAAGCGCAGGGGCCTGAGATCATCTCCAGAACTCACATAAAAGCTGGACTGAACTTGTAGTTCAAGTGCTGGGGAGGCAGAGACAGGCGTCTCCCTGGGGCTCCCTGGCCCACCCTAGCCAACTCAGTGAGTTCCGGGCCAGTGAGAGATCTTGTTTCCCTGTAAAGGTGGGCAGAATCCAATGACGACATCCAAGGTTGTCATCTGGCTTCCACATTGCATGTGCATGCATACTTGCACATAGCTGCCTGGGTTACCTCCATGTCACACACAAACACACATGTACCTCCACACCAACACTCACCAAAAATAAAAAAAAAATGGGTGGAAAAGCCCCCAGCCCCCATGCCTTCTCTCCTGTGCTCCTCACAGGACGAGTCCTTTCCTTGGCTGTACCGGCTTCTTTTCTCCTCTTCAGAGTACATCAGAGCAGAGCTTCTCGGTGATGGTGGAAGATGTGAACTGCTACAGCTCCGGCGTCATCTGCAGGAAGTCCATCTCCATCAACGTGGGCAGCTCACTGGTCATCTTCGATGACGACTCCGGGGATCCGGTAAGGGCCTGCGCTGGGGAAGGTTGGCAGACAGTGTACGATTGGTGGTGGTGAGGCAGGAGAGGGTTGGGATCCATAGTGCCGCTGAGGCAGAAGTTCTGACTGGATTCTTTATAAAGGGCAGGAGCAGAGGTCAGTATAGGGGTGGAGGGAGGGAGCGGTGTTAGTGAGGTACTGGAGTTGGACAATGATTCATGGCCACTTCTGGTTGGTTTGGCGTTGAGGGACACTTGGGTTCAGGACTGACTCGTTCTGTCTCTCTAGAGTCCTGAGAGCTTCCTGGATGAGAAGCAGGCTGTCCACATCTGGAGAGCAGGCTTCTTCACGCTGGTGCATTTCCCACGGGAGCACATCACCCTCCTATGGGACCAGAGAACCACTGTGCATGTACAGGCCGGCCCTCAGTGGCAGGTAGTTGTGAGACCTGAGCACCACCATTTCTGCCATTGTCCAGGACTAAGGCAGGCTGCTGCTGCCCTTGGTTGAGATGTCCCTCTCTGAGGGCCTGAGAGGATCACAACCCTGTCCTGTCCCGTGCTACCCATTCTGTTCTGGCATCTTTCTCTGGCCTTGCCCCATCCCTCTTTAAAGCATTCTTCCCACAGTTGTCCTGGACCAACAGTCTTGGTGCTGCAGCTCAGCCCTTCTATACTGGCAGCTGACATAGTACCCTCCCTCCTCTCAGGGTCAGCTGGTGGGCCTTTGTGGGAACTTTGACCTGAAAACTGTCAATGAGATGAGGACCCCAGAGAACCTGGAGTTGACGAACCCCCAGGAGTTCGGCAGCAGTTGGGCTGCAGTGGAGGTAAGGACTTCCAGCTGGCTGGTACCTCTCACTCTCTTAGATGGGCCATATAGATCCTGGATCCAAGTCAGGGGAGAGCAATATCAGTGTGCAGCCCTTCCTGGGAATGCCCTCTGCCTCTGACTGGTATTCATAGCCTAAAATTCTGTCCCTGCCCCACAAGGCAGGCAGCCCACCCTGCCCTTGGCCAAATGTGACTGGTGAAATGTTTGGAAAAGATGGGGTTCCTATCCTAGGCAAGGGAGCCCCCTAGTGTGGAAGGCAGGGCTTGTGGAACCCTGGCAGGCCTGTCCACCCTCCCCACCATCACCACTTTGGGCACTAGCTAGGACAACAGAGAAGAGAATCCTGTACACTGAGGCAGTCCTCAGTGACTGCATCATGGAGAAGGTGAGGCCAAGGGTGGAATTTAGCAGATAGGCTGTGTTTGGAGGGAGACCATGAGCAGAAGCATCGTGGCATCCCTGAGGGTTGGAAGGTGCCTGACGCTGCCAAGCTGTGAGCTGTCGGGGGAACCGTGCTGAACTGAGAACAGGAAACTTGACTTCTTGTCTTGGCTTATCTTGGGCTCTCTGGGTGAACTTAGTCTTCTGTTGAAGTGAGGGGTCTGGGCCAGAAGAGGACCCATGACAACTCTCATCAGTCCCAAGAGGCTGCCTGCAAAGTGTCACTGAGAAATATCTAAGGACTGTGATTGATTAATTATGTCTGCCTTGGGTGCAGCAATGGAGAATGGTGATATGACTGTTTCACATATCACTTGCCTGCGCTGAGTGGATCTTAGTTCTTTGCAGGAGGATAGATAGAGAGGGGAGGCAGAGCAGCTGGGCATGGCACCCACTCCCATTTTAGAAAAACTGAATGGGTGACTGATTTTTTTATTTGTGAACCCTCTCCCCACCAGTCCATATTTCTTTATTGCTTATAACTTTAGGCATGCTGGGGAGGCAGGGCATAATAATATAGGCCTGGGGAAGTAGGACCAGCTCTGGGGAAACATGTGTTAACCACCCTTTGCTGTGTAACAGTGGTGGTCAACTTGAGACCACTGAGTAACACCTCAGTTCCTGGTGCTTAGAAATCAGAACATGGGTTTTCTACTCTGTGTCCCATAGGCTGCGCTCAAGGTGACATCCAGGGCTGGGCTCTCACCCAGAAGCTCCACACGTGGGCGGCTGTGGGTCATCTCCACTCCTGGACCTGTAGGCCTGAAACCTTTGGCTTTCAGTAGCTGTCGGCCAGAGAGCACCCTCAGTTCTTAGAGGCCACTCACTTCCTGTCACGTGGGTTCCTAACATAGCCGCCTGCTTCCTCACAGCTAGTAAGGGACAGACTCCCAGGGAGGTGGGCTCTGGGACCTCATCTGATGCAACCATGTGATCACAGATACCCAACCTGGTGTGTTCCCAGAACCTTTGGTGTATTCTGTTTGTTGGGAGCAGGTTGGAGGCTGCTCCCACTCTCCAGGGGAGGGGATTAAACAAGGATGTGGATACCAAGAGGGCAGTCTCAGGGCCTCCCTGTGACCAGGCACAGGCACTTGAGGGATAGGGAGATCTCTGCTCGGTGCCCTAAGTGCGGCTCTTCCTTTATCCTGCAGTGCCCAGACACCCCTGACCCCCGGGACACGTGCGTCCTGAACCCTGTCCGAGAACCATTTGCCAGGAAGGAGTGTGCTATTCTGCTCAGTGAGGTGTTCGAGACCTGCCACCCCGTGGTGAGTGCCTGTGTTAAGTGGACCCTCCTCCGCCCCTCCTAAGTCCCTCCCACCTTCCAAGGACCTCTCCTTCTCAAAGACTCCCTTAAAAGAAGGGAGACTGGAGGTGGCAGTACATCCCAGCACTCTGGAGGCAGAGGCAGGCAGATCTCAGTGAGTTCGAGGCCAGCCTGGTCTACAGAGTCAGTTCCAGGACAGCCAGGACTGTTACAGAGAGAAACCCTGTCTTGAAAAACAGAGAGGAGAGAGAGAGAGAGAGAGAGAGAGAGAGAGAGAGAGAGAGAGAGAGAGAGAGAGAGAAGAGAGGAGAGAGAGGGAGGGAGAGAGGGAGGGAGGGAGGGAGGGAGGGAGGGAGGGAGGGAGGAGAGAGAGAAAGAGCCATCTCTTTTCCTCCACTCTCCTGCTTCTGCTCTGCTGAGATGATCCTTCCCCAAGTCCCTGCCGCCCTGGGACAGCCAGCCAGGCCTCTGCTCTCCACAAACCCAGCTAGACCTGGCTCCCCCTGCTCATGAGCAAGTTCTGTTGCAGAGTGAGCACTGACCCGTGCTGCACCCCTGCCTGTTCACGGCCCGCCCTGGGATGAGGAGGCTGGGGTTCAGTTCCACGTGCCTCCTCCAGGGCTTCAAAGACCATTGCAGCCTGGCCTTTGTGTCTCCAGCCTGGCTGGGCAGGTCACACACTCTGTCTGTGCTTTGTCGGTTCCCTAGTCCCCCGAGTCCAACATCCTGTGGCTTATTCCAGCTCATCCTACCTGGGGCCATCTTTATATGGTGCTGTCACAGAAAAGACGCAGGCTTGACATTCGGAATCCTCCGACCTTCCCTAGGTTGATGTCACTTGGTTTTACTCAAACTGCCTGACGGACACATGCGGCTGCAGCCAGGGTGGTGACTGTGAGTGCTTCTGTGCCAGCGTGTCTGCCTACGCCCATCAGTGCTGCCAGCACGGGGTGGTCATTGATTGGCGGACCCCCCGCCTCTGCCGTGAGTGTTCCAGACCACACCCGCATGGCTGTATAGTCCTGTGTTGCAATTGGTGAGCCTGTGGTAAAGAAAGAGAGATGAGAAAGGGGTGCTCGAGGTCATGCAGGAGAGTGGGGTGGCTGGAGCTCATCCCCGAAGGGGCTGATTAGCCTCATTGCTAGGAGAGTTCCCAGTCCTGGGCTCCAGGGCCACACTGGCTTTTGCATGCTGTGTGACCTCAGACAAGCTGCTCAACTCCTCTGAGCCTCAGTTTTTATCACCTGAAAAATAGGAATAGACAGCCTCTAGCTAACTCTCTGTAAGCTCAAACAGGATAATGAACATAAAAGCCTTTTGTCAGCTGAGCTGTGGAGAGAGGTCCTGTTTACTCAAAACAGTGTGGGCCTGTGGATACTGCTGATTGACACTTCTGTGAGATGGAAATATTGTGTGGGCACACAGGCATATGTGCACACACACTCACACACAATTATATACATACACTATTGGGAGTATAGATATATACCATAAAATACACAAAAGAAGTAAAAGGTGAAATAAAATGTGTAGAAGGTTAATTTCCTAAAATCTAAGGTCATTTCCCTTAGATTCCAATATCCCACAGTGGGTTTTTTCCGACCTTGTGTTCGGGACAGTGGCAAGTGCCCAGGCTCGACAAGGGAAGAGAATGTGGGTCTGCTCAGTTCTGCCAGCTGGGGCCAGGGTTCATCACTTCTCCACAGCACAGGAGCAAAGCCAAGTCCCCACCTCACAGCCACGGAGGACGTGAAGTGAAACAAACTTCCTACAGTGCCGGTGTACTGTTGCCACAGCACTGTTAATAGATACATGGCTGTTGGCAAAGCCCCAGCCTCAGGAGCTCCAGGCTGGGGGACCTCAGGGGGAAGATGGGGGAGCACCCTCCTCCGCTTGGTTTCCTTTCTTCCTGCCTGCTCCCCTGAGACTCTTCAGCACAGATGCTGGGTCCTGGTGGGGTCTCCCCTCTCCTGGCTTCTGGTAACCACCCTTTAGGAAGGAGAGGGACACACAGGTTTGTGGAGGACCTACCATGACATGCTGCATGTGTGTTGTCTCATGTAATAATTAGAACTAAGGTAAAGCAGTTGAGGCACTTGACAGGGGTGTGACATTTATAGGGACACCAGAAAACTCAGCGATCCAACACAATAACGTTTTAATGCAGTGTCTTTAAAAACTAAAGATTGCTGCAAAAGTATTGTTGATGAACAAATATCAAAGGTCAGTGTTATCACTTTCCCCTGGGTCTAGGTTCCATGATGGCTCAGTGGGACCCTGTTACTGCTTATTTGAATGTTTTGATGTTGTGTTTATTATGAACTTTTTGTATTGATTTGAATATGTTTAGAATGTCACATTAAGGTAGGATTAGCTGTTGACCTAAAGAAAGCAGAGATAGTTTCTCCAAAGATTAATAAGGTTTTCAGTGGGTATCAAATTATCACAATGGGAATGCATTGACCTCACTGAGCTATGAGTTTATGGGACATTGAGGCAAGGAGGGATTTTAAAGGTAAAGTGAGAAATACTACACAAGATATTTTAAAACCAATAATCCTGGGCCAGTGAGACAGATCAGCAGGTAAAGGTACTTGCTGCCAAGCCTGACCACCCGAGTTCATTTCCAGGTCCCCTGTGATAGAGGAAAAGAACAGACACCCCCAGGTTGTTCTCTGACCTCCACATATATGCCATGTCACATGCATCCCCCCAGTAAACAACTAGATGTAACTTAAAGGAAAAGTCCTTGGCTAACACATTAAAATGAATGCTGTTCAGATCAACAGCAAGTCCTGTCAGTCCAAGGTTGGACAGATGGGGACAGACGTCCCTGCAAAAGTGTTTCTTTTTCTTTTCTTTTCTTTTTTTTTTTTTTCAAGACAGGATTTCTCTGTGTGGTTTTGGTGCCTGTCCTGGATCTCGCTCTGTAGACCAGGCTGGCCTCAAACTCACAGAGATCTGCCTGGCTCTGCCTCCTGAATGCTGGGATTAAAGGCATGCACCACCACTGCCCGGCTGCAAAAGTGTTTCTTGCATCAATGTGTAGCCATTAAGCTGGCTGGCCAATGAGCCCCAGAGATCCATCCCCTTGCCTCTGTCTCCCTAACACTGGCTTGAACTTGGTCCTCATGCTGGTGAGGCAAGCGCTTTACCAACCGAGTCACCCCCCCCCCCATAGTTTTACGGTTCAGCACTCCACGTCCACAAATGAGGAAAAGCAAGTGCTTGCCCGTAGGCTTATGGCAAGCCTGCTCCTCACTCTGTTTTTTATTTTTGAGACAGGGTATCTCTATGTAGTCCTGGCTGCTACATAGACCAGAATGGCCTCAAACTCACGGAGACCTGTCTGTCTCTGCCTCCCAAGTCCTGGAATTAAAGGCGTGTGCCATCATGCCTGGCTTCATCTCCTGATCCTTAATGACGGCAAGAGGGCACAACCAAATGTGTTGATTGTGGGTCTGGGGTGTAAAGAGGAGTTGATGACTCTCTTCACACCATCCCTGTGTATGAGGCAGACGCCTCCTCAGCCTTTGTCCCTCGTGCGCCCAGCTGGTTCCTCATAGTTTTGTTCTTGGTTGACACACTCTGGCAAGGTCTGGCAATTGCTCACCCCTAGAGGAAGGAGGAATCTGTAAGAGAGATGCTACTGGACAGATGCAGATCATCCACTAGAGGGCGCAATGGGTCCATGCTTTAGGGGCTCCTTCCTGCCTAGAAGCGCTTTGGTGCAGCCAGATACTGCACAGAGGGTTGTGGAGAGCCTGGGATCCTGGAGCCCTTTGTCCAGTTCCATCCAAGGCTGAGGGACTTCTGACTCACGCTTGCATTCCTTCTTTGGGACTCTTCTGCAAAATACCCAATCAGAGCTTCTCCACTTTGGTTCCGTTTATGGTATTTGAGACAGGATCTCTAGTCCGGGCTTATTTCAGACTCCCTATATAGCCAAAGATGAACTTGAGCTCGATACTTCTGCCTCCACCTCTTGAGTGCTGGGATTAGAGGTGTGCACTACCACACCATATAATGCAATGCTGGAGAACCACTGGACCCAGGACCTTGTATGTGCCAGGCAAGTTCTCTACTGACCAGGCTGCATCTTCACTCCTACACCTTCATATTCTGTTCTTGACCTTTATGGTCACACAAAACATACTCTTCTGTCCAACATTCCTTCGTTCGTTTGCTCATTCATTCATTCATTCATTCATTCATCACTTTGCTGAGTGCTACTCCAAGTCAGGTTTTGAGCCTTGTGCTGGGGTGCAAGGAAGGACCACTACGTTTCCTTCTCTTAAGACACATGGATCTGCAGGGCAGTGGTAGTTCACACCATTAATCCTGGCATTTGAGTGGCAAAGACAGGCAGATCTCTGAGTTCAAGGCCAGCTTTGTCTGCAGAGTGAGTTCCAGGACAGCAGGACTATGCAGAGAAATGCTGTCTTGAAAGACAAGCAAACCAAAAACCGTTTGGATCCAAGTCCATCCCTCAATCTTGGAGTTTTGGAAATAGGCCAGATCCAGTCTTTGATGAGGGGAGGCTGGGTCCAGGTGCCGTGCTCATGGGAAATCTCTCTTCTTTCTTCTTTAGCATACGACTGTGACTTCTTCAACAAAGGTAAGCCAGATTTCCCCCAAGTGGAGCCTTGGGAGGGGGCGGGGCCTGGCTGGGGCACTGCTGACTCTGTCCTTGGGCCACATCAGTGCTGACCTCCTGAGGTGCTCCTGGCTCTGGGACAGCTGAGACTGTTCCAGGGGGGACTGTGTGATGGGGAGTCCCGATGGTGCAGGGCTTAGGGACGTCCAGGACTTTATCCACAGCTGTCCCTGCAGCCCCGTGTGAGGCCCAGGACGGCAGCCTTCTTGGGCATTTTCATCACTCAGGGCGGCTTCACCAGGCAGCAGGAAGCCACTGGTGTTAGTGTGCCCGCCCCACAGCGTTTCTGATTGGGCCCGATAAGCTCATCAAGTGTCACCAGGGTTCTCTGAAGACCCGAGTTGTCCAAAGCAGGTGCAGACCGCTTTCTCTGAGGAACGCTGCTGAAAACCTAGATGGGATCTTCAAACACCCAAGAGTTCATGGAACCAAGATATGCACCCACATCTAGAGTATTGATGGAGATGGAAATACAAGTCATTGCCAAGGACCAAGGGAGATTAGTGTCCAGTATTAGAGCCACTTAATCAGTTTGGTCAGAGGTTGAATGGGCTGTGGCAAGATGGCCGCCAGAATAGTTCTCAGCGTCAAACTTGGCCCACCTGGGGGCCTTCAGTGCCCTAGCCCTTTGGCGTCTAAGCCCCTACGTCTCCTCCCAGCGCACCCTGCAGGAGCTGGCCTGTGTAGGTGTGGGCATAGGCTTCGTGCACATTTTGATGCTGATTTGGGTTTGGGAAGTGTCTTCCCAGCAAGACTATTGAGTGGAAAACCAGAAATAAAAAAGAGATGTGGGTGCTCCTCGGTACTGTGGAGGAGAAGGCTTAGTGTGATACGAGGGAGAATACAGTTAGAGGCAGAGGCATCTGGAAGAGTCCAGAGTGAGCATGACCCTGAGCCAGGCCATGTGAAGAGAGAGGGGGAAGGGAGAGAGGAGAGCCAGGAGCCAAGGGGCCAAAAGGTAAGAGGATAAAAAAGCACCGGTATAACCAAAATGGCTGGATTATGTAGGACAGAGCAGCTGGGGGAAGGGCAGCCCAGCCCCTGGGCTGGACGAGTTTAGGGTAGGGGATGGGGTATGCCAGCCAGGAGGACCCTGTAACACAGTGTTTCTCAACCTTCCTACCGCTGTGACCTTTAATACAGCTCTTCATGTTGTGGTGACCCCCAACCATACAATTATTTCATTGCTAGTTCATAACTGTAATTTTGCTACTGTTGTGAATCATAAGGTAAACATCTGATATGTAGATGGTCTTAGGCGACCCCTGTGAAGGGTGGTTGACCCCCCCCAGGGGTCACGACCCACAGGTTGAGAACTGCTGCTACAACAGGTAGGCACTGAGGTATGCTGGGAGGACCTGGCAGCCAGCATCAGCTTTGATGTGTCACTCGGCAGCTCAATTAGCCATTTGTCCCAGGTTTAAGAGCTAACAACTATGGCTTAGGGAAAGGAAACGAGAGACAAGATTAGGGGTGAGGGAGAGGAGGGCTGGATGGACCAGACTGCAACATCACAGCTCAGAGAGATGGTCCTGCCTAATGGTAGTTCCAAGGGGCAGCTGATGGTCCCAGACTCTGGGAGAACGGCGTTTCCTGGGACAGGAGGGTCCCTGTGACATCAGGCAAGGCATTTCAGCAGCAGTTCTCCCCCTCTGCGGCATTTTGGGTGTCAGTAACTTGCAAAGGACAAGCTGCTTCTAGCATCCTCCACCCACCCACCCGCCCACTCGCCCATTTCTTGGTTCGTTTTTTTTTTCCCAGCATTTTCTGTGGCCCAGGCCTCATGGGGTGCTGGGAAAGAAGACCTTTGCAGAGGTCCATGGGAGCCTTCCATGGGTGTGCTCTGAACCCTGCATTTGTTGAAACTGGTCACTGCTTTGAGTGTTCACGCCATCGAAGTCAGCCGATGTGACCCACTTTTTTTTTTTTTTTTTTTTTTGAAGAAAACATTAAACTTTTATTCTGAAAGTGTATTATACAAATGATTCCATTAAATGTAAATAGACTAAATAATTAAATCATGGAAAAGATAAATAAATAAAATATAGGCAAAGTACACATACACACTTAAGAGACACATTTTAGCCGGGCGGTGGTGGCGCACGCCTTTAATCCCAGCACTTGGGAGGCAGAGCCAGGCGGATCTTTGTGAGTTCGAGGCCAGCCTGGACTACCAAGCGAGTTCCAGGAAAGGCGCAAAGCTACACAGAGAAACCCTGTCTCGAAAAACCAAAAAAAAAAAAAAAAAAAAAAAAAAAAAAAAAAAAAAAAAGAGACACATTTTAGAGGCATAACTACAAAATTAAAATTCAAAATTCTGGTGCATAAAGATGAAAAGAATGTTAGGAAATCACTATCACTGAGCTGCAACACTGTGCTCAAAAGTATTCTTTTTCTCAACAGAATTTACAGTAAGCCCAATGTATGTGACTCATTGCTATATAATTCTGATGCCTAATCTTGGTTGTGAACTTGACTACATCTAGAATCAACTAAAACCTAAGCAACTGGGCACAACTTTGATTGACTTTTCTTCTTAGAATCATTCATGACAGGAAGACTTACCTTGAATCTTGATCATTTGAGGACAAAAAGCTCACCCTTATTCTGGGCCATATTTTCTTATGGCCTCCCCATTAAGAGGACATGGAAGAAAGAAGCTTTTGTCTATTTCCTGCTTGCTTTCCAGTGCTCAAGTTCACCTACCCTGCTGAGGAGACATTACTTTATTACTTATGTTACTAGTATTATAATCCATTTCCTTAAAGCACATGCTGTCATGGCAACCTGGCTGTTAAGACTGTAAGCTTGTTGCCTTTCAGCAACAGCAGCAAAAGGAAGGCTCTAGATGCCTGCCTTCTCTGGGAATCCTCCAGGGCTGTAATCACTCTGTGTGCACTGAGGGGAAATCAGCAATGAGAAACAGCCATGCTCTTGTAAGAGGACTCAGATTTCATGGTTATGAAAAGGACACTTTGGTGAACATCTGAAATATGCGAGCTGTCTTTTTTTTTTCCAGTGTATTGATCTTTGGTACCATCTTTGGGTTTTATCTGCCTAATTACAGGATACATGAGTAGGGCAGCCAGAAAGCTGAAAGACTTGTGAAATAATGAGAAGCCACCATGCAATCCAACTGTTTTAACCCCACCAAGATCCAGTTATCAGAAGATGACTGTTGAATTACTGAGCAGGGCTCGAGAAGCACTATTTTGTCCACCCACTACCTGTTACTCTTTTGGTTCGGAAGAGCACCTTTTTAAAGGAATTGGAATTATGAGAAACACCAACAGCAACAACACACACTACTTCTATGTGATTCCAATACAGACTGAACACCCACTAAGACATCCAGCTTCTTGGAATGAACAACTCTTGGCCTTTCCATCGGGAGATAGGAATTGTTGGGCTAGCTGGACCACAGCCTATAGGCCACTCTATGAAATCCCCCTTTAGTAAGCATTGATTCATTCAATCTGTTATGTTTTTCTTGAGAATACTGACTGATACAGTACTCATAGTGCATTGTAATATTTAATAATCACAATTAGTGGGCTATGACTTGCTAAAGTGTGTGAATAAATTTGTATGAACAATTTTGTGCTCAGAGAGTTGGACAAAAGAAAATCATCATACACATTATTTATGTAGACTTCAAAATAGACAATTCATAAGCCCTGTGACCCACTTTTTATCGGTTTTTTGAGAGCTGGTTGCTGACCATTGACCGGCACACTACGCTGTCTGTCTGCTTTCTAATGAAGGACCCAGATGGGTCCACACCACAAAGCTGTGACTGCTGTGTTCTCTCCAAGAGCTGGTAGAGCGTGGAGGGGAGTGTGGTGGGAAAGGGTGCGGGGAGAGCTTCCCTAAGGAGGGGGTGACATTTGAGCTGCTCTCCAGGGACTGAGGAGGTGTCTTGAAGGCAGGAGAGGAGGAGGATTTCTCTGGGGATGGGGGACAGCAGGATGAGATGAGTTAGGACAGCCATGTGGCTCTTTCAATGAAGCAGGAAGTCCAGTGTGACAGGAGCCCCTGTGGGGTAGGGGGCAAAGCGTGGGTCCAGTGCGGAAGAGCCCTGAAATAAAGCTGTGTTCTTGAGATTCTATCCTAGAGATGAGGAGAGCCACTGGGGAGAGTGGCTGGGAAGGTGACCCAGACAGCTGTGGGACACACCAGAGGCAGGAAGGTCATTTATAAAACAATTGTCTGGGACACCCACATCCCCTCTACCCTCTCCCCACCCTATATCCAAAGCCTCCCCAAACACAAACGGGACATGTGCAAGAAATAAATAGATACAAACTTTGAGCTCTGAGGTCATGGCTGGCATCCCTCAGGATTGGGTGGGGGTCCCTAGTGATGTCTGTCATGGTAATGGCTCATGCTTACGGGGGTGACTGTCACAGGCTCCCTGTGCAATGGCCTTAAGCACCGAGGGAGGGTCCATCTCCTTCAGGGGCTGCTAGCCTGGGGTTCCTGACCCATCATAGCCACTAAAGTTCCTGTGGTCTGGGATGAGAAGCCACCGAAAGGCCCTTTCTAACACCCCCGCCTCTCCTCAACTTCCGATGGGTGGGACAGGCGGGTCGGGTCGTGGGGCTTATGACAGGGGCTCTCCTCTCCAGCGCTAGGTAAGGGTCCCTACCAGCTGTCCAGCGTGGCGGCCGGCGGCACTCTTGTGGCTGCGAAGGCAGTGGACAGTGACATGGGCCTTGTGAGGGCAGAGGACCTGGCGCCAGGGGACATTTCAAGCTTCCTGCTGACAGCTGCTCTGTACAAGGCCAAGGCCCATGGTAAGGCCCACCCTCTGGCTGCAGTCCAGCCCTCTCAGGAAAGGCAGTGCCAGCAGACAGACACAGACGGGGGGGGGGGGGGGGGGGGGGGGGGGGGGGGGGGGGGGGTGGGGGGGGGGTGGGGGGTGGGTGGCCGTGGGGGGAGGGAGGGGTCCTGAAGTCCGAAGCCACCCACAGGGCTCCAGCCCCACGCTCTGTTACTAGTTCAGACTAGTTTCTTAACCTCTGTGACCCCAAACTGCCGAGGACAGGACCCACACAGGCCGTTGTCCCCTACTGTTTTTTCAGAGAATTGCAGAGGCTGCCGCCCTCCTCCTCCTGTGTCCTTCTCTTCCTTCTCGCTGGCCTCCTCCCTCTTTCCTCCTTCTCTCTTTCCCCTCTCTTTGTGCCCACCCCCTTCTTCTCTCCTCCGTTCTCCTGGTCTCCCTCTCTCTGAGCCTTAGGCACAGGAACTAGAGACATTAAGAGACTTAGTCCCTGCCCAGCAGGCATTCCAGCCCCACAGCAGGACAACGAGAGAGAGAGAGAGAGAGAGAGAGAGAGAGAGAGAGAGAGAGAGAGAGAGAGAGAGAGAGAGAGAGAGAGGAGTGCTTCAGAGTCCCATGTGGGGGGTCTGCCTGGGTCGAGCTAGCTTGAGAAATGGAAACTTACAGTGACAGGAAGAAATGGGGAGCACTGGACGTGATGAGGACACTAAGTCGCTGAATCGCCAGACCCCGTTGAAGGGAGGCAAGACAGGACGGGAGAGGGCAGCTGTGGGCTTCTCTAACCTCCCGCCTTAGTCCCAAGAGATGAATGACCAGAGGGTGGCCGGTGAGCAGAAGGAGGAAGGCCGAGGATGAGGAGGAAGGTCAGAGGAGCAGTGACAGGGTCCAGCGAGTCCCCAGGGAGCTGCCAGCCCCAACCACTGAGTGTGAGGACACGTGCTAGTATGCTGCGTCCCCCCCCCCCCCCCAGATCTGGTTCTCTGTGTACACTGACCTAACTCCCGTGGTTCTGCAGACCCTGATATCGTGTCCCTGGAGGCGGCGGACAGACCCAACTTCTTCCTGCACACCACAGCCGACGGGTCTCTAGGGATGACTAAGTGGCAGGGTGGTGAAGCCTTCCAACAGCACGCCTCCTTCTCCCTGCACCGGGGGACATGGCAGGCTGGCCTGGTGGCTCTGGAGTCCCTGGCAAAGCCTGGTTCCTTCCTCCACTCATCAGGCCTTAAGCTGGCTCTGCGGACATACGAGCACACAGAGGCATTTCGTGGCGGTGCGCTCTTCCGCCTTCTGGGTAAATGTCTGCCCTGCCGTTGCTCTTAAGTCTGGGGCGTCTGCCTCACTCAGCTGCTTTTCCTGACCTCTTCCCTTCCGCGTGTCCCCAAGGAACAGAATCCTCATCCTTTTGGAGAGGGGAGGGGTGCTCCCTGGTGGCTACCCCTGGAATGGGAGGTGATCTGATGTCCATATTGGCAGATTAGGGAGTGGTGGCGGGGTGGGTTGAGACCTAGCCAACTTCCTGGTTCCTGCCTGCTGCCACAGGCCACTTGCATAGTGTAGAAATACGTGGCCTGTGTGGAAGTGAGCGGGAAGCTGAGCCTGGGGGAGGTTCATGGAGCGCTCAGCTCCCTGTTTCCTGCCTTAGGACACGTACCGGCCCCCAGAGTTTAAAGTGTACCCGTAGGGGCACCAGGCCGAGAAGCCAGCAGGATCTCAGCTTCTTAACTCCTGTTCTACCCATAGTCACTTGTCCTCATTGCAGGGCAGGGGAGGCACGGGCTGAGCTGGGGTAATTCCGGGTGGGTCTGGTGTTCAGTCTCTCAGCCCAGCGACTTGGAGGGGACTGTCTTTCCAGATGCCAAGCCCTTGGGGGCCGCCTACCCCATCTGCGAGTGGCACTATGATGCCTGTGCCAGCCCCTGCTTCCAAACCTGCCGGGACCCATGGGCAGCCAGCTGCCAGGATGTGCCCAGGTAAGGCCAGGGGGCAGTGGGCATGGAGTCAACGCCTGTGAAACAGAGTCTGAGCGCACTGTGAGCATGTGTGTAGACACGCCTGTGTGGGTGTGTGTAGGGGTGTGTACTAAGGTGAGTATAGGGCTGTGTGTGTCAGGGGAATCTATTTTGTGTGTGTGTCTTAGTTATTTTTCTCACGGCTGTGACAAGAGCAGCCTCAGGGAGGAAGGGTTGGCTTGTGGTCACAGTTTAAGAAGGGATCCAGCCATTGTTGTGCGAAGGCATGACGGCAAACCCATGGCGGAGGGTTCGCATTCGGGTTCGCATTCAGATCACAACAGCGTATGTGTGCCATATATAAATGTCACATACTCAGATTGTATACTGGCCCGTGACGTGTATGTATATAGCTGAATCTTGTGTTTTTATGTATTCAGTATGTATGGGCTGTACTCAGCTATATTCACACACCTGTGTGAGCTGATTATATGCACCTGGGGGTGGCTGAAAAAAATATCATGGGGGTGTGTAAGCTGATATTTGTGGGCATCCACATGGATGCGTATGTGTGTATGCAATATGTGTACATCTTGGCTTTTTATAGCCTTGGAAAGAGCCTGTGGGCTGTGTGATCGTGGGCCTATGTGGAGAGCCCGAGCATATGCACAGGTGTGCACGTAGCCACGCTTGCTCACGCGTGTCTCCCTGTTGGCCGGGGAACAAGAGTATGGGCCGGGTGCTACTGTACACACGTGTGACTCGGTTTCTATAGAGCTTTACATGAGAGTGTGCGTGACAAGCGTGTACACACGCACATGCCATAGGAAGGGTGGGGCCTGTGTGCTACCCAGGCAGAAGAGGGAGGCCAGCACTGTGTTCTGATCACCGACCAGCTCCCTGCTCTGTCCTTAGGGTAGAAGGCTGTGTCCCTGTGTGCCCCACTCCTAAGGTCCTCGATGAAGTCACACAGAGATGTGTCTATTTGGAAGACTGTAAGCGGTCTGGTGTTCTCCTTCCTCCTCCCGACTCCTTCAAGTCTCCAGGGGGGTTCTGGGAAATGGGGCTCAGGGTCCCAGCTCCTAGGGCAGCCGGGTCAGCACAGAGCTCTAGAAGGAAAGAGCTTCAGAGCAGGCGAGGCTTTGTCCGGTCCTCATTTCAGGAAAAGGAAAAGGGAGGGTTGGAGGTCTTGCTTGGGGTCTTATGCTGACTGCACAGGGGAGCCAGGCTTAGCAAAAAGATGGACAGAGTCCAGCCTTGCTGGCTTCTGTGGACAAAGACCTTGGCTGTCTGTCATCAGAAGCCACGCTTGCCCCACTGCTTAGAGTACTAGTCCTCCAGCCCCCTCCCTCAGGCCTGCCCCCTGAGGACGCTAGGGGCAGTCACCCTCCTTAGGAGCCTCTTCTCCTGTCTGCCCCAGGTGTGGAGCCAGCCCTGCAGGGTCCCACGGAGGCGCTTGGCAATGAGACCCTGGCACCTGGTCAAGTGCTACCCACCCCCAGGGACAAGCAGCAGCTCCCACAGGGGCCTCCCAGTGCCCCCACCCACGGGCCTGCCCTTGTCCCAGGAGCCCCGCTGACTTCAGCCCCCAACCCACCAACGGCTGCCCCCGAGGGGCCAGTGCTGTCTCCAGGCCCCACCCAACCCACACTGCACCCCCCACTGGGGCTTACAGCATCTAACCTTCCTGCTCACCACACAGAGGCCCTAGCCAGAGAGGAAGGGGCTGCCAGCCTCCTAGCCACTCCTCACCTCCCAGGGTCCTCATCCTCCCTCTTAAGTTCTCCACAGACACCCACATCTGGCACCGTATCTGGTACAGCAGAGACAACCAAAGTGACCGCGACCTTTGCAGGGAGTCCCAACACCACGGCCTCCTCCCGGTCACCCCCTGTACCTCGCTTCCCACTCACGACCAGAGCGGTGACAGTCCTAAGTCGTGACTCCTTTCCTGTTAGGACTACACCCCTACAGCCCTCTTGGCTACCAAGCCCCTCTTCCAGACCTGTGGCTTCCCCTGGAGCAACTTCCAGGCCCCCCACCGCCCTGGGATCCCACCCGACAACTGCAGTAACTAAGGTCACAGATAAGAAGACAGTGACAGTAACTTCCAGTTCCAGCCACACCCTGGCTGTGAGCACAGCACAGAGGGTTCCGGGCAGTCCCCTCGTCACCACGGGCTTGGAGGTCTTGCCAGCTACAGAGAAGGGAGAACCTGGGCACAGCCAGCCTATAAGGCTGCCAGTGTCCTCACACCCAAGCTCAGTCCCCATCGACTTGCCTCATCCAGCCCAGCACTCCACCACAGCCCCTGGGCCTCCAGCGCTGTCCCTAGGAACCCTGGCTGCTGGCAGCCCATTCACGGATGCTCACAGACTGGGGGGCCACAGCTTTAGTTTCTCTAGAGTCAACTCGGCCACCCCAGCTCCTCTCTGGCCTGCCTCTTGACACCAGCCTGCCCTTGGCTAAAGCGGGCACATCTGCCCCAGTGGCCACACCAGGCCCCCCAGCCTCTATCACCACCCCTCCACCTCAGCGGCAGGCCACCACTCCGGCCGTGGCCACGACAGTGACGCCACCTGCTCACACACTCAGTCTGTCAGTGCCTCTCATGTCTGCTGTGGAGGACCAGGCACAGTCACCTAGCCCTATGGAACCCCAAGTAACAGCTGTGGCTCCAGACTTAACTCTGGGAGCCACATTGCCAAGCTCTGGAGCCTCAGCGGTGACTGCTGGGGTGCCCCCCACAGTGTCTGTGGCCCCACAGAAGAGCACCACCCCTAAAGCAGCCATCCTATCTAAGAAAGTAACTCCACCCACCTTCATCTCTGGCTCTGCCCAGGGTGGGTTCACAGAACTCACAGCCAGAGTGAGCCATACTGTTACTCCCTTGGTGACAGAGGCGGAGGGCCCCCGGGCTGTCACAGTGCCACTGGTGTCCACATCCTACTCCCTAAGCCAGGTATCAGCCAGGACGGCCTCCCGGGAGAGCTCACTGGTTCTGCTGCCTCAGCTGGCAGAAGCCCATGGGACCCCAGCAGGCCTCCAGCCCCAAGAGGATCTAGTGAGGCAGGCTACCACGGAGCAGTCAGGGCGCTCAGCTCCAGCCCAGAGCTTAGCAGAGGGATCGATGGAGGTCGACGTGAACATTTCTGCCACCTGTGTGGTGAGTGACTTGTCAGCTTCTTCAATGGTTGTGAATCCTTTCCCCAAGACCTGCCCTTCTCCCTGCCACTAAGATGGGCCTCACAGTATGGGGCTGTGCTCTGCTGCAAGATGGCGTTAGTGTCCCTGACCCTGCTTATCCCTATCTCAAGCTCCTGGTACTTCAAAATTCCCCAGGTCTCCCTGGACCCCTGAAACCACAGCAGGGCCCACCCCACCTGTTTGGGTCCAGGGCCCCATTGGGCATGCATGCTTGCTACTCAGCCAGCTTTCTCTACACTTACACAGTCCGGGGCTCAAACCTGAGGAATGGTGCTGCCCACGGTCAAGCTGGGCCTCCCACATCCATTAAGACGATTAAAACAACCCACGACCGACCCACCCACAGTCCAGCCTGACCCAGACAACCCCTCACTGAGACTCTCTTCCCAAGTGATTCTTGGTTGTTTCAAGTTGACTGTTGGAACGGGCTATCCAGGGCATCAGTTCCCTAGTTTTTACCTCAAGGTCGCCTGCCCTGCTAGAATCTGGCTTGTTCCGGAAGGGCTGAGGCAGGTAATACCGTAAACTCTGAGGGGCACTCATGTTGACACTCCACTTTGCGCCACAGCCCATCGCCGAACAAGACTGCATCCGGCACATTTGCCTAGAGGGCCAGCTGATACGTGTGAACCGGTCCCAGCACTGTCCTCAGGGCGCTGCACGCCCTCACTGTGGAGTCCTAGGCCTCGCTGTGCGAGTGGGCGGGGACCGCTGCTGCCCACTCTGGGAATGTGCCTGTGAGTTACGGAGTCTGCCCGAGTCTCCGCCCTCCTCTCTCCTCTACCCCAGCATGCCTCTTCCCCAGTCTGTCTTCTCGCTCACACTTCCACGGGAAATCTCGTCTAGCTGTGGCTCCTACCCTTGTGACCCCAGGGACTCTCCAGTCCGCCGAATCTCTGACTCACCCACCCGCCCGTCTTCCTAGGTGGCCTTGGAGCCATATGCTTGTTCTTCCCTGCCCCGCTTCCAGGCCGATGCTCAGTCTTCCCGGACCTGAGCTTTGTAACCTTCGATGGCAGCCATGTGGCCCTGTTCAAGGAGGCCATCTATATCCTCAGCCAGAGCCCGGATGAAATCATCTCCGTCCATGTCCTGGATTGTAAGAGTGCCAACCTGGTAAATGCCCCATGCTTTTCTCCCTGCCAGGACCTGAGAGCTGAACTGGGCGGAGAGGGGAGATTGGGTAGTAAGCTGGAGTTCAAGGAATGCCGGAAGTTAGGGTAGGTCCTGGGGAGGGCCAAGGCGGCACCTTTCTCTCTCTGCCTTCCAGGAGGTTCCTGGAATGGTAGCTGATCTCCCCTTATCAGGCCAGGTGACTGGGGGGACAAGTGGAGCGGAGTGTGCCACCTCCTGGCCCTTCTTGGGACCTGCGCTGTTCCTAGTCCCCCGTAGCTTTCTAGACTCCCTGGAGTTGACACCGAGTATGGAGGAGTCGGGGAGCCATTCTAAGGTGGCAGTCTGTGAGTCGGGGAGCCATTCTAAGGTGGCAGTCTGTGGTCATAGGTGCCAGCTGCAGGGGCTTGCTGGGATAACCCTGGGAGCAAGTGGATAGAGGAAGCACTCTCCCTTCCTCTTTTTTCCCTCCCTCCCTCCCCTTCTCCCCCTCCCTCCCCCTCCCTCCTCCTTCCTCTTCTCTTCCTCCCTCCTACCCCTCAATGGGCTCACAGGAGGTCAGGTAGGATTCTATGTAGCATCTACTCAGGCCTGCAAATGTGCACATTTCCTTTACTCACACAGTTGGAGGGGAACTTGGGGGGTGGGGCCCTGGACTGATGAGGCTGGGCTTTCTGCAGGGACACCTGAACTGGCCCCCATTCTGTCTGGTTGTATTGAATGTGACTCATTTGGCCCATCATGTCACCATCGACCGCTTCAACAGGAAGGTGAGTACATCAAAGTGTACTCCGTGCCATCTGCTGAAGGAACTATCTTCTCTTCAATGTGTCTTTTAAACGTCTGTCACAAATGAGGTGGCTGCAGCTGTGTGTTCCTTTCTGGGTCCTCCGTTCTAGTCCTTTGTGGCAGGTTTGTTTGCTTTCTGTTTTTCCATTCATTCATTATTTCTTTCTTTCTTTCTTTCTTTCTCTCTCTCTCTCTCTCTCTCTCTCTCTCTCTCTCTCTCTCTCTCTCTTTCTCTCTTCTTTCTTTCTTTCTTTCTTTCTTTCTTTCTTTCTTTCTTTCTCTTTCTTTCTTTCTTTCTTTCTTTCTTTCTTTCTTTCTTTCTTTTCCACTATGGCTCTGAGTATGACTCGTAGTTGGGTACCATGGAGCCTCCAGGATGGCTCTCTAGTCTCAGGATTGTTTGGGCCATACAGAGACCTTTGTGCTTCCATTTGAATTTCTCTTTCCGTAAAGACAGAATTTTCATAAGAATTGTACCAAATCTACAGATTGTTTTTGGTAATATAACCATTTTCACAAAATTAATCCTGCAAATCTGTACGTGTGGATGTTCTTTCCATTCTATCTTCAATTTCTTTCCTTGATGCTTAAGTTTTTCATTGTCGATATAGTCACATTCTTGGTTAAGTGTATTTCTGCTTTTTTTCGAGGCTGTTGAAAATGAGATTGCTTTCCTGCTACGTGGTTGAAATGTCAGGCCCCAGAACTTCCTGGTGAAACCTTTGGGGTATTTTGGATATGAGATTATATTATCTGCGAGGAGGGATAATGTGGTTTGTGCTTACCTTCTTGTTTCCATTGCTTGTGTTTCGTTCTCTAGCCTTGTTGCCCTGGATACAACCGAACACTGAACTGAATAAGAGCTGAGGGTGTGGACACCCTTGTCTGTCCCTAAGTTTAGAGGGAACGCTTTTATTTTCTCCCTCCATTGAATACAATGTGGCCTATGGGCTTACTGTCTAGTCATCATTGTGTTGAGGTACATTCTTCCTATTCCTAGTTTCTCCTAGGCCTGTATCACTAGAAGATGCTGGACTTTGTCACAGGCCTTTTCTGCATCCATTGAGGTGATCATGTGATTTGTCCCCGTGAGTCTCTTTATGCACTGCATTACATTTATTAACTTGTACACATTGAATCATCTTTGCACTTGTGAAATGAAACCAATCGATCCTGGTATAGGATATGTTGATTGTATAGTTGAATTAGTTTGCAAGTACTTTGTTGAGGGATTTTTGTGTCATGAGGGAGATTGGTCTATAGTTTTGTTTTGTATTTTGTCATGTTCTTTAGCCAACTTGGCATGAGAGTAATATTGGCTTTGTAAGATGAGTTTGGTAGCATTCTTTCCCTCTCTGTTTTCTGGAATAGTTTGAGAAGCATTGGCATTAATTCTTTAAAGTTCTGGCAGAGTTTGGCCATGAATCTGTCCAGTCCTGGGCTCGTCTTTCTTGAGAGACTTTTAAATGATTATTCTTTATAGAACAGTTTAGGCCTGTAGAACTCCAGGGGCCTGGGCTTCAGATATGGATGGTCACACTCATAACCTGGAGTTCAAGCCTTTGGCAGTACAAGGAAGGCTTGAGGTATCAGAGTTGGGGACCTTCCCAAAGTCACAGTTTTCTAGCTCCTGAACTGAAGTTTTCCTTCCTATAGCTCGGTAATTCACATGCTGGGTAATTTGTGGAAGGATTAATAAAATAGTCTATTCCTGAAGGGAGGGTGGTAAATCATAATAAATATTTTATAATCTTAATCTTTTCTCTCTTTTAGTTTTATAGCACAACACTTAACTCTCACTCGGCGTTACATACACTTTTAACCTTGTCTGTTTGTAATAGAAGCTATAGCCTTGAGTGTTTGTGAGAACTGGGGTGTGCTGACTATTTAACAGACATTGATTGAGCCCCTAAACGATGCCAAGGCCAAAGGCAAGTGCTGGAAATTCAAAAAATCAGACACAGTTCCTGCCCTGAAGAAAACCATACTCTAGTGGTAACCTTAACTAGGCAAGAGCTACATCCTCCTTGAAGGTCAGCGCAGAAGAGAGCTGATACCAGGGAGGCAGTACCTAACCTCCAAGGCTGTAGAGAAAATCTCCCAGGAGAAACTATCTGAGCAGAGCCAGTGAATAAGGAGGTGTTTAGAAAGGATGGGAATTCGTGTTTATGTGGGCAGTGAGATGCAGCCCGCCTCCTGCTCTTACAGTTCTGGTTTTATTGGATTTTGCCTGTAAAATATTTTCAGAATTCTCCCATGTTCTGTTGGACTATGCCTTGGATGCATGTGCCCCAAACAGCCTGGCACATAGGAGGTGCCTAGAAAGTGTTTATCAGAAGGACTGATGGACAGAAAGATAATGAAAAGATAGGTGGGTGGGTGGGTAGGTAGGTGGACAGACAGGTGGATGGATGTGTGGATAGATCAGCAGGTGGATGGATAGATAAGTGGATACATAAGTGGGCAAGTATGTGGGGGCACAGACAGATATGACCAGTACTCCTAACTCCTTATGCCTTAAGGTGACTGTGGACTCTCAGGCTGTGTGGCCGCCAGTGAGCAGATATGGGTTCCGAATTGAGGATACAGGCCACATGTACATCATCCGGACACCCTCACACATCCAGATCCAGTGGCTCCACAGCTCAGGACTCATGATCCTGGAAGCCAGCAAAGCCAGCAAGGCCCAGGGCCGTGGCCTGTGTGGTGAGGTGGGACCCAGCTGGGGGAGGGCGGTGCTTCCCTGGTTCCTCTCTGGCACCAGGAAGGTTCCCTTGGATCAGGATATGTTGGGACAGGGTGTCAGACCAGAGGTGGGACCAACGGAATTGCCAGTGCAAGAAGGCCTCATGTCTGTCTGGGGCTGAGGCCATCAGCAGGGAATAGCGCAGGGTTTCCTCGCCAATGGTCGCTTCAGCCAGGTTTGTCTGTCAGCATCTCAGATGGCTTCCTAATGCCAGATGATCCTTCCTGTCTGCATGTGCTGGGGCCCTTCGCCAGACACTTGCACTCATTAGGATTATTTACTCCAGGTCACCCACACAACAGTCCTGGGAAGTGGCCCCTTCACTGAACCAGAGACAAGCGGGGGGGTTAAAGGTCAAGTGGCTGTCTGACGGCACAGGGCAGAGATGCCGTGACATGCACAGCTAGGGGTTTCCAGACCGAGCACGGCTGCAGACAGAACTCTCTAAAGACCAAGTGCTGACTAGGAACCTGAGGGCAGGAAGAGCCTGGGTGCAGGTGGCTGCTCCCTGAACAGCCACTTCATGGCAGGCTGCTGTGACTGTGCTGGTGGGTGACGGGCATGGTCTCTCTCCTTCCTTTAAGTGCCAGCCCCTGGGAGGCAAAACAGATGAAGTTCTGTTCTATGGAGCTTCCATTCTTGCTACCAAAACCTCTTTGCTTTTCTGTACCACCACCACCACCACCACACCACCACCACCACACCACCACCATCACCACCACACCACCACCACCACCACCACCACACCACCACACCACCACCACCACCACCACCACACCACCACACCACCACCACCACACCACCACCACCACCACCACCACCACACCACCACCATCACCACCACCACCACTACCACCTCCACCACCACCACCACACCACCACACCACCACCACCACCACCACCACCACCACCACCACCACCACACCACCACCATCACCACCACCACCACCACACCACCACACCACCACCACCACACCACCACCACCACCACCACCACCACCACCATCACCTCCACCACCACCACCACCACCACCACCATCACCACCACACCACCACCACCACCACCACCACCACCACCACCACCATCACCTCCACCACCACCACCACCACCACCACCACCACCACCATCACCTCCACCACCACCATCACCACCACCTCCACCACCTCCAACACCATCACCTCCACTACCATCATCTCCTCCTCCACCACCACCACTACCACCACCACCACCACCACCATCACCACCACCACCTCCACCTCCACCACCACCACCTCCACCACCACCACCGCTAACACCACAATCATCACCACCACACCTTTATCTTCTACCATATTCTGTTTATCTCTGGCAAAGATGTCAGGATCCAGGCAAACCATGTTCTCCCTGGGATACCTTTGAGATACCCCTTGGTGATTCAAAACCCAGACCTAAAATGTCACTATCAAGAAAATTAATTAAATCAAAGAAGTTTGCCTCAAGTAACGCTTTATGTTTGCGGGAGTGGTGGTTGGAGATGTCAGAGCAGAAATCAGATCATTCACATGTCTGTTTTATCCAAACTGTCCTCTGACACATGCACTGGGCCCCCTGCTAGGCAACAGAGGGAGTGTTGAGATCAGAGAGACCCGGAAAAGAAGACCCCTTGGCACTCGGCTGAAATCTTCTGTGACTCATTACCACAAGGCAGTAGCTGTTGCACAGAGCTAGGAAGGTCGTGGCTAGCTGGACGGGAGGCTCTCTGGGGTGAAGGACATTCGCGAAAGCATTGCAGGCAGGAAGCGTAGCACCAACAAAACCACAGGCAGAAGAACACGCATCTGGACCTGAGGGCACACCTGGAGGGGAGGGATGGCGTGGGAAGCACGTCACGTGAGAAGATAAACCACAGCCTTGCCCTCACCTCAGTGCCCAAGATACCAGAAGTGTATTTCCTGAGAGCATGATTTCCCAAATGACTAGTGACAATTCACGCCCCAGATTCCTTCCTTCTTAGAGCTCCTTAATGTCCAGGGGGAGCTTCCAACTCTGCAGAGGAACGACGGTAGGATCTATGGACCAGGGAGTAGGTGCTCATCACCTTAACTCACACTCCATTGGCTGGGCCTCGGTCACACGTTCACATCCAAATGCAAGAGAGTCTGGGACCAACGGATGGCTGATTCCAGAAAGGGAAGGAGACAGCCGTTAGGGTTAGCTCGCAGCCTCCACTGGAGCAGGTTCTTAGGGGATAGCTTTTCATTCCGATGTGTCAGACATAGAGATTGAAAAGCAGAATAAAGGATTCCCTTTTACTTAGATGGAACTGCTGCTCACATTTTGCTTCTCTCTCTCTCTCACAGACACACATACAGTACATATGTATATGTAGTATACATATGTGCATAGCCATGTTTTCATGTATCCCTGAACTATTTTAAAGTAAGTTCAAAACACTGTGTCCTTTACCACTAAACATTTTTGGTGTGCACTTTCCTACACAGCATGCGCCCTGGCTCCCTGTGCCTCACTTTCCTCATCTGTCACATGGCAGGTGGCAGTGACCCCTTTCAGAACCGGCTGATGACTGCCCGGAGTGAGCACCGAGGCCCCGGGGTGACGGTGTTCTTTGTACCTATTAGGACCATTGTGCCCCTTTCAGGTGTCTGTGATGGAGATGCAGCCAACGACCTCACCCTGAAGGATGGCTCTGTGGTGGGTGAGGCAGAGGACCCTGCTCCCTTTCTGGACAGCTGGCAAGTGCCCAGCTCCTTGACCTCAGAGGGTCAGACCCGCTTCCGCCCAGACAGTTGCGCCACAGCCGACTGTTCGCCTTGCCTCCGCATGGTGTCCAACCGCACTTTCAGTGACTGCCACCACTTTGTAGGTGCCCGTGGAGTGCAGCAGCATGGGGAGGCTTGCCGGGCTGGGGAGGGTAGCAGCCACCTGCAGAGATGCCGTGCTCTTCCGGGAGGGGCAGGCACAACGGGGTCCTGGAATGTGGGGCGCCAGGATGGGCAGCACTGCCTAATACATTTGTCCAGGTCTCCCCAGAGTCGTTCTGTGAGCTGTGGATCCGGGACACCAAGTATGTGCAGCAGCCCTGTGTGGCACTTACTGTCTACGTGGCTATGTGCCACAAGTTCCATGTGTGCATTGAGTGGCGGGGCTCCGACTACTGCCGTGAGTGGGGGTCCGGGCACCTTCCTCTGTGGTCCTCTTGTTCCCATTCCGTGAGTGTGTGAAGGGGCTCCCAGAGCCACTTGAGGTCAAGGCTCTCCCAAGCTTGGTCATTTCTCCACTCATTAATTATATTCATGAGCTTCTAAATAGTTTACATTTGTATTTAAATTTTATGTTACACACAGCATATTTGATATTAGCTCACGAGCAAATTCTTCTGCTATCTTTGTATTAATGAACAAGCCATAATTTTATTTTAATTTGTTGTTTTTAATTTGAGTCATTTCTCCATACAACGGGGGACAGTAATGTTTGATCCTCACCTCCGTGCTGTTAGAGGTGGGTCAAACAGGGGTAGAACATTTTGAATTCCAGAACTGCTGGGGACAGCTCCTGGGAAGGTCATATCTATACATGACAGATGAAAAGGAAAAGACTTAAAACATATAGTGTTTTTCAAACTGTGGATCCTGATACAGAGGATATAAAGCCAATTTGAAGAGAGCAACACCAGCATTTAAAAAATGCAACAAAATACAAAATACAGTATGTATCATGTGTAGTAAAATTTTTTTAGCAGCGATTTCCAACCCAGCTGGTCACACAGGGACTTAGAAAAGCACTGGGTCCCATCAGAGGTCCATTTGGTGTGGGTTGGGACTCTGCCCAGCAGGCTTGTGTGTATGGGCCATAACCCCACACCCACTGTCTCCAGTCAGGACCGCTGGAACACACCGATCTAAAGCCAGGGGTTGGCAAACTTTTTCAAGGGGCCGGATAGTGAATAGTGTGTCTTTGTGAGCCACATGGTCTCTGTCTGGAGGACTGTGTTCTACCCTTGCAGTGTGGAGACAGATAAAGACCAGATATAAAGGAATGGGGTGTGATGGTTGGCACCTGTAGTCCTAGTACTTGGAAGGCTGAGCCAGGACTGATTTTGCCTCAGTCATGAGACCCTGACTCAGCAGCAGCAGCAACAGAACAAAAACAAACCCAACACTAACAACATTTACACAAATGAATGGGCACGTCTGTGTTCTAATAAAACTTTATTTGTAAAGAAGACAATTAGCAGCATTTGGGCTAGGGAGCGGTCCTTTGATGACTCCAGATCTAGAGGAAGGAGGTCCAGCGTTAAGCCCCAGACTTAGGCACTGCTGAGGCAAGATAGATACTCTGTGCTCCCCCTCCTCACCCCTCCCCACTCTTGCTGCCCTCAGCAGGGACCCCTGCTGGGAACTAGAGTAGGCCTGATGCCCATTTTACCCCTACAGCCTTCCTGTGCTCCAGTGACTCTACCTACCAGGCGTGTGTAGCGGCTTGTGAACCCCCTGAAACTTGCCAGGATGGGTTACTGGGCCCGCTGGACCCCGAGCAGTGCCAAGTGCTGGGTGAAGGCTGCGTGTGCTCAGAGGGTACCATCCTGCACCGGCGCCACTCTGCACTCTGCATCCCTGAGGACAAGTGTGGTAGGTCCCTGCCCTCCCCAGACGGGTCCCCCAAGCCCCCCGGTCTCATGCTAGGGCCTCCTTTGCTGCGGGCAGACTGTGGCAGAGGCCACTTTGCATCCTTCCAGGTCTGCCTTGGGGCGGTTCATGTTTAGGTGAGAGGGGTCCTCGCATTGACACAGTCTGGTCCTTAGTCCCCTGCGCCCCTGCATGCCCCCACCGCAGCCTGCACCGACAGCACAGGGGTGCCGCGTGCCCTGGGGGAGACCTGGAACAGTTCCCTCAGTGGCTGCTGCCAGCAGCAGTGCCGGGCCTTAGACACCATCATACCCGTGGACCTGGACTGCCCTGGTCCCCGGCCTGAGAGCTGCCCCCGCTTTGGAGAAGTGATCCTGTTACAGCCCACAGAGGACCCCTGCTGCCTGGGGAGTGTATGCGGTGAGCCTGCCTCTCGACTATAAGCTAGCAACAGGTTCCAGTGTGCCTGTTGTATCTGGAAAATTGCCATGACGGGCTGGAAAATTAAAGCGTCTTTTGGGATGTTCATGGGTGGGTGGGGGAATAAGAACCAGGCTTTGCGGGGGCAAGGATAGACGCTGGAGTTGGTTGGTATGGAGTGGACGGAGGTCTGGGACCGGCACCCTCTAACGCTCCTCCCCCTGTAGACTCACTCCATAAATCACTATCCCAGGCTGCGCCATGGCTGGTTCTTCTGTAATGTGAGGCTGCTGGGCGGCTCTTGGCACCCATCTTGGTGTGCGGATGCTAACACAGGCCCACAGGACACCTGGAGGAGTGTCCATTGCTCTGCAGTGTCCAAGACTCTGCAGCCATCTAGGAGTGGGGGCGGGGAAGAGTGTGTAAGGAGCCCACGTGTCCAGGTGGCCAGTGGGACTGGCGGGCAGTGAGGACGCCGACCTCCAGGTGACAGGTTGTGTGGTCCGCTGCCTAGTGTGTAACCAGACTCTGTGCGAGGGCCTCGCTCCCACCTGCCGCCCTGGCCACAGTCTCATCACCCACTTCCAGGAGGACTCCTGCTGTCCCAGCTACAGCTGCGGTAAGAGGTTGGGACAGGAGAGTGGGTGGGCCTGAGAAGCCGGGGCTGTGCTCCGGGTTCTGGGTCCTGGATGGAGCTTGCCTTTTCTCTCCTTTCCTCAGAGTGTGACCCTGGTCTATGTGAGGCTGAGCAGGTCCCCACCTGTCGCCAGGACCAGGTCTTAATTGCCGGTCGCCTAGGGGACTCCTGCTGTACCTCCTACTTCTGCGGTGGGTGGCTGTGAGAAAGGCTGGGGTATTTGAATGAGAGGGGTAGAGGGAGAAGGATGAAGCCGTTACCCAGAAAACAACGTGGGACAAAGAAAAATGGGTCCTGTGTTATCGCCAGCTCACTGAGCACAAGAAATCAGTGTGTTTTCAGTGCCAGACTGTGGGTCGACATAGAAGAACACATAGGTTCTGATGCCAAGATACCTGGGACCCCAAAATGCTGCTTTGGGCTGGTTAGGTGCCCTGCCCCCTCACTATGAGAGGAACTTCTATGACCATGGTGACCCTTCCATCCCCACAGGCTGTGGCGAGTGTCCAGATCCTATCCCCGAGTGCCAGGAAGGAGAGGCACTCACTGTGCACAAGAATACCACGGAGCTCTGCTGCCCTCTGTATCAGTGTGGTGAGTCCCACGTGTGAAAAGGGTGTCTGGGTACACTGTAGGGGTATAAACGGGAGCTGGGAGGTGCCCCGCCTGACCAGTGCTGGCTGGGTCCTGCCTGAGCATTTGTAAAGTCTGAGACTAATTTGTCACCTGTCTCTCCCGCCGCATGCATCCCAGTGTGCGAGAGCTTCCGCTGCCCACAGGTACAGTGTGGCATGGGCACTTCCCTGGTGGAGGTGTGGAGCCCAGACCGCTGCTGCCCCTACAAGTCCTGTGGTACGTTTCAGTCAGGTACGGGTGGGGGAAAGAGCCCCCACCACCATCAGCGGTGCTGAGATCGGCCCCCGCCCCCAGGCCATGTGCAAGCCTCACTCTGAGCATGCAGCAACCCAACAACCTCCTCCCCGAGATCACGAATGGTTTCTCCAAGTGTGGTTCTTGCCATTGCCTGATTGCACGTACAGTCCGTGTACTCGGGTCTTCTCGGAAGGTCAACAGCAACATCAGCGATCAATAGTGAATGGGGGTGAGCTTTACACAAAGCTTTGAAAGCTACTTTAACAAGCTGGGAGACCGTTCTGCTGCTGACTTTGAGATGCCTTTTCCAGGCCTCACTAGAACATGCGCTACTTAAGGGCAGAATCATACTCGGCTTTAATCCTCACGCTGTCTTCAGAGCACAGAACAAGTCAGCCGTCTAGGGAGCATTTAGATCCCCTTGTTGTATGAGCCGGTGACCCAGAAGGGACTTTGTCAGCTTCTCTGGCTTGTGGCCCTTGGTTCTCAAAACTAAAGCTGATGTGCCCCTTACATGAGTTCCCAGTGCCTCCAGGCCACTGTGCACAGGTAGACCTGCCCAGTCAGGGCTGTGCTGGCAGAGCTCAGCTCCTGGGACTTACTGTGGGAAAGGCAAGTGTTTACTCCTGGAGAGGCCCTGCGGATAGGGGAGAGAGAAAGGGAAATCTACAGGTGTTCTGTCGGCCTGCTTCACTTCCGCTACACCCAGTCAGGAGCGTGATGGTCAGGACTGCCCACCTACCTAAGCAGGAGAGCTCCACCCCCTGCATGTGGGGATGAGAGGAGGCTGGTACTTCTCTGCCTACCTCCTTAGAGTTGTGCCTCAGGAGGAACTGGTGTGCAGCGCAGTGTCTGAACATCCCTGGTGAGGTAGGTTCTGGCCTCTTCTGTTTTTCAGAGTGTGACTGTGACACAATCCCTGTGCCCAGATGCCATCTGGTATGAGACCCCGTCTCTCCTCACCCTTCCTTGTCTCCTCTCTCCCTCTCCTCTCTCCCCTCTCCCGGAGACGCTTCCTTTAGCCTAGTGCCGAGAGCCCTGGATTTCAAGTCAGCACAAATGCCCCAAGCTCTGCCCCTCACTCTGGGCACTGGGTCCTCTCTTTGGAGAGTCAGCTTGGCCGTATGTCAGAACTGTGCTGAGGAATAAGCACACTGGTCCTGCAGGTGCTGGTGATGATGGTGAGGATGGTGACGATGCAGGCGATGAGGATGGTGGAGTTGGTGGGATGATGATGATGATGATGATGAAGGTGGTTATGATGGTAGTGTAGATGGTGATCGTGGTGATGATGGTGGTGCTGATGATAATCACAGCGCCAGCTGCTGAGACCTTACCATAGGCCTGAACTTCCCCAGGTCTTTCTAATAAAGTATCTTATTAATTGTTAGGACAACTTCAAGAGATTGAGTCTGTGATGATCTCAATTATTTAAACAAGGAAGTTGAAATTAAGATCATGAAGCTGGTAAATCACAGAGCCAGGATTAGACTCTCGTGGACCTTTAACCTTTAGGCTGCCTGGCCATTACAGTGTGTGTGTAAAGTGATGGCAGGCTGTTTCTGGATTATGCTCCCCGTGTTGTCCCAGGACACATTCCCTTTCGTGTTCCCCTTCCCATCCCGTCTTCTTCCCGGAAACTGGTAAAGAAGCTAGGACACGGGTAAGGTATAAGCCAGGTGGGGCTCTGAGGGCAGGATGCTGGACAGTGGGGAGAGTGACTGAGCTTCCGGGTGCTGAGGGACCCCAAGTTCGCCATCTTCTTTTGCCCAATGCACGCAGGTCCAGTAGCAGGCTGTTTCTGAGGGTGGGGTTGGGCTGTCCACTCCAAATGCTGACTGACTTCCCCTGTCACCCGCAGTGGGAAAAGTCCCAGCTGGATGAGGGGTTCATGCACAGCGTGGAGAACGTGTGTGGCTGTGCCAAGTACGAGTGTGGTGAGTGGGGAAGGGCAGGTACCGGGGGCGGGGCGCCAGGGTGGTGCACCTCAGGTGGGTCAGCTGGGAGGGGCCAGGGTGGGTGACCCGGCTCTCCAGGACAGTTTCTCCTCCTTCGCCCATCCAGTGAAAGCCCCTGTGTGTCTGAGCCGTGAGCTGGGGGTGATGCAGCCAGGCCAGACCGTGGTAGAGCTTTCGGCGGATGGCGTGTGCCATACATCCCGATGCACAGATGTGCTGGACCCTCTCACCAGCTTCTACCAGATCAACACCACTTCTGTCCTTTGTGACATGCACTGCGAGGCGGTAGGGGCTGCGTGGGGTGCGTGCAGTCTGGAGGGCTGGGCTGGCAGATCCTCAGCGGGTTGCTGCCTGCTCCAGAAATCACGTCAGAGAGCCCTGTGGAGAGGGGCCCAACAACAGCAAAGGGACTAAGTTAAGGCCTGGGAAGGTAGAGAGGCCTGGCTTCTACCAAAGTCTAAACAATACTGCCTGGGTGAAAGGGGTTAGAATTATGCCCATCTTTCAATGGAGAAAAGTGAGCGGGAGGGAGGTCCAGTGGTTTATCAAAAGCACGGCAGGACTGAGATTCAAACTGAGGTCTGTCTGGAGCCCAAGCTGCTGCTGTTGATGACTTGCAAGGCTGCCTCTGCAGTGGTGGGGTTCCCTCTTCCCCAGGGCTGCCTCTGCAGTGGTGGGGGTTCCCTCTTCCCTGGGGCTGCCTCTGCAATGGTGGGGGTTCCCTCTTCCCCGGGGCTGCCTCTGCAATGGTGGGGGTTCCCTCTTCCCCAGGGCTGCCTCTGCAATGGTGGGGGTTCCCTCTTCCCCAGGGCTGCCTCTGCAATGGTGGGGGTTCCCTCTTCCCCAGGGCTGCCTCTGCAATGGTGGGGTTCCCTCTTCCCCAGGGCTGCCTCTGCAATGGTGGGGGTTCCCTCTTCCCCAGGGCTGCCTCTGCAGTGGTGGGGGTTCCCTCTTCCCTGGGGCTGCCTCTGCAGTGGTGGGGTTCCCCCTTCCCCAGGGCTGCCTCTGCAATGGTGGGGGTTCCCTCTTCCCCAGGGCTGCCTCTGCAATGGTGGGGGTTCCCTCTTCCCCAGGGCTGCCTCTGCAGTGGTGGGGGTTCCCTCTTCCCTGGGGCTGCCTCTGCAGTGGTGGGGGTTCCCTCTTCCCTGGGGCTGCCTCTGCAGTGGTGGGGTTCCCTCTTCCCCGGGGCTGCCTCTGCAATGGTGGGGGTTCCCTCTTCCCCAGGGCTGCCTCTGCAATGGTGGGGGTTCCCTCTTCCCCAGGGATGCCTCTGCAATGGTGGGGGTTCCCTCTTCCCCGGGGCTGCCTCTGCAATGGTGGGGTTCCCCTTCCCTGGGGCTGCCTCTGCAGTGGTGGGGGTTCCCTCTTCCCTGGGGTTGGGTCTAGGACTTCAGGCAAACAGGAAAGACCTGTTCACAGGTGGAGGGAGGCTGTGGGTCTCCTTTCTGAACTCCAGCCTTGGGCTCTGCCAGAGACAAGCAGGTACCAGACACTGGGGGATGGATATAGGCACAAGGCTGAAATTGTCTTCTCTCCCGGGTTCAGAACCAGGAGTATGACCATCCACGGGACCTGGCTGCCTGCTGCGGCTCCTGCAGGAACGTGTCCTGCCTCTTCACCTTCCCCAATGGCACCACCTCCCTGTTCTTGGTAAATGGCCCCTAAACCCCCCGAGAATGGGTCCTGGAAAGTGCCACTGCAGGGTCCTCTCGGACCCCACACTAGGGCGTGGTATACCTGAGCTTGTATACCTGGGCTGTGCGTGTCCTCAGGCTGCGCTGTCCGCTTGGTCAGAAGTCCTCACTGCCGGTCCATGTGCTCTCTAGCCTGGTGCATCCTGGATTGCAGACTGTGCCCGCCATCACTGCGGCAGCACTCCCCTGGGTGCCGTACTTGTCCGCTCGCCCATCAGCTGCCCTCCGCTCAATGAAACCGAGTGTGCCAAGGTCAGTGTTTCCTCCTCCCCCTGCAGCTGGCTTCACGTCAAGGCACCATGTTTTACTGGTGGGGGGATCTGGGTCAGAATCCTGTGTCCTGGGGCCTGTGATGGCACTACATACCAAATCCACATCTCTCCAGGCACATTTTTCTCAATCACACCCCATATCTATAAAAATCATATGGCCACACATCAAGGCATGCAATCACATTATCAAGTGTTCCAGGACTCATCCCAGGTTGTCAATCACTCATACTCCATAGGGAATGCCAGTGCACACACCACATACTGACATACTTGCAGATAGGCACACTCTTGCACGTATGTGTTCCAGGCTTCTACATACATGCATAGTTTAGTCCTGTGGTAGGATGGCATGCTTCCAGCCTGGTGTGGAGGGTTGTCAGTGTGGACACAACTCAAAGAAGAGGATCCCTGGAGGACTAGGGGGTTACAGTTGAACTAATAAGGTTCCCAAGATTAATAATAAGACATTTAACGACTTCTGCCTCTTTAGGTAGCAGGCACCCAGGGCTGTGGCCCAGTGGGTACAGTGCTTGCTTAGCGTGCAGGAAGCCCTGGGTTCAGTCTCTCATGGAGCTCCTGCCATGGGAGGAAGACTACCTTAGCCTCTTTATGTATTATTTAGTTGGTTTTTGAGACAGGATTTCATTTTGTGTTCCTGCTAGCCTGGAACTGACTCTATAGTTCAGGCTGCCTAGAATTTGTAGCTATCCTCCTGGGATTACAGACCAGCTCTGTTTTTGCCTGTCATTGGGAACCTGGCTCCTGGCCTGGAACATGGCTTTCCCACCCACTCCTCCTCTTCTCCCTCTAGGTCGGCGGCTCTGTGGTACCATCCTTGGAAGGATGCTGTAGGACGTGTGAGTGAGCATGGAGACCCGGGGTGCAGTGTGCGGGGGGGGGGGGGGGGGGAGAAAGATGCTCAAGAGGATGTGTTACCAGCCTGGTATTTATGATGGCAGCTCTAGGTGAGTAGACGAAGGAATGACCCACCTGCTGAGGGTCATGGCACTGGTACAAATAATCAGGTGGCCAGAGGTCACATGTTCATGAGTTCTGTCCCAGTATAAGGCCTCTGCTTCTTTCTGGAGATAAAAGACCATAGTCAGTCCAGTCAGGAAGTCATTCACTCCCCAGTCATCCTGGCTCTTCTGTCTCTGGTGAAGACTCTGCCCCCTCATTGATTCTCCTCTGTGGCCGTGAGCCCTGGTCTTGGAGGTGCCTCCTGAGGGAGACTTAGGCTTCCAGACCCTGGCTGTCAGAGGAGAACCTGTGTCTCACACTTTGCTTCTGGTGCCCTGGATACTTGGTTGAAACCAGCGTCTCAACCGCAGATACTTGTTTTTGTTTTTGTTTTTTTACTCTTTGCTATTTGCTATTTGCCCGCCACCCAGCTCCCAAATAAATACACAGAGACTTATTCTTACCTATAAATGCCCAGCTTTAGCTTGGCTTGTTTCTAGCCAGCTCTTCTTAACCTAAATTATCTCTATTTCTATTCTCTTTCTCTATTTCTGTATACCTTTTCTTTCCTTCTTATTCCGTGTGGGGCTGTGAGGCTGTGTGGCTGGCCCCGGCATCCTCCTCTCCCCTTCCCTCGATCCTTGATCCCTCTTCCCAGACTTCTCCTCTTATGTATTCTCTCTGCCTGCCAGCCCCGCCTATCCTTTCTCCTGCCTTGCTATTGACCTGTCAGCTCTTTAGTAGACCAATCAGGTGTTTTAGACAGGCACAGTAACACAGCTTTATAGAGTTAAACAAATGCAACATGAAAGAGTGCAACACATCTTTGCATCATTAAACAAATGTTCCACAGCATAAATGAATATAACACATCTTTAACTAATATTCTACAACAAATGCTTGAATGGACCAATCAGCCTTATGACCTTTGTTCACATGTCTGCCCTTCTAGAATGCTCAGACCCTGTGTCTAAAGGACCATAGGTTTTCAGTCCCTTTATGTCCACATTACTTACTACAGGGAAGCTCTGCTCCAGACCTTGACTGGCTGATCTATGACCCATAACCTCATGCTCCCTGAATGTTCTGTGCTCCCCCATGTGGCCTGAGGCCTATGCCTCTCTCCTCAGTTTCCTAGGAGGCTTGCTTCCCATGGTCCCCATTAGACCTACCACTCCTCCCTGGGTTAGTGTTCACTGCCTCTCAGTTACTTCTCTCAGAAGTACACAGGACAGGAGGCAGGCAGACACATGGCTATTTCCAAGTATCCCTTCTAGGTGGCCCCAAGCTCTGGAGATGATGGAAAGGGAGAGTCCTTGCCTCTGGTGAAGGCCATTTAGTCCACATGCATGTTGGGTACTGAGCTGTATTCTCAGAATTTCAGCAGTTCCCACTTGTATCTAGTATCCTTCCATGTCCAAGGCCACCATTGCTTTCTCCTATGGTCACCCAGGCTTCCTCATTCCAGTGCCACAGGGCTGTGGCCAGGGCAGCTCTCCCTTCTCCTGCCTCTCGGTGCTGAGTCTCAGAAGTTAAGAGAAGGGATTCTACCCAGTTGGTTTCTCATGGGTTCGGTGGGCTTGCAGGACAAGTCCACACCTCTAGCAGGCATCTAATGTGTGCCATTGTGTGCCAGCCACTGGCCCAGGAGCTGTGGGCATGGCATAAAGAAGGCCTTTGTGGGTGTCACTTTCAGGAGGGGGGTGGAAGAACGGGTGTACTAGATTACAGGGTGGAGGTTTTGAGTTCTGCAGGGTCCGAGCCATAAAGAATCTGGGGGGAGGGGAATCATCAAAACAGAATCCACAACCACACATCTGGACTGAGGTGTGAAAGAGAATCTTTGCATTGAGAACAGAATTTGCACTGGGGTGAGGAAGGCCGTGTAGATGAGGGACCCGAAGCTTACAAGCTTAGGTCTCCACAGCAAAATTACAGATTGTGTAAATTTGGCCAGACAGATTATGCTTGGGACAGAGTAGGCCAAGGAGGGGCCAAGGAGGGCTAAGGAAGGGAATTGCAGTTTCCAGAAGAGGGGATCTAGGGAGGTCTCACTGGGGCTTGTACAAGGTATTAGAGAAAACTGCTTAAGAAGGTGGGCTGAGAGAGGGTCTCGTGAGTGACTGTCTGTCTTGGAGAGCTGGTCAGAGCAGAAGAAACTCTATACTGCCAGTTTCCATGCCTGACCCCTGCTTGAGAGCTGTGGAACCCCCATGGGTCTTGCTATGTAGAGCATCCTGGTTGGTTCTGAGGTTTCCATTCATGGCAGAATCTTGCTGCTAGATGTCCTCTCAGAGTAGAAACACTGAAGCTCAGAGAGGGCACAGAGATGTATATCCAGAGTCTCCAACAGGGCTGACAATAAGTGTTGGGGCTTGGGCATGGGGACGGCCTGCCCTTGTCTCAGATCTTCTTATAGTACAGAGCCCTGAGGTTCTATCCAGCTGCCCCATGTGTCCTCCTCTGTCTCAGCTGCTCAGGCTGCCACCTCTTTCTGGGGCATTGGGTTAAAAAGGTTTCCCCTTGTTGGAAAGGGACATTAATCTGTGGGCACCAGCCTGGAAGAGGAACACTCTTGCATGACATTAACAGTCTGGGGCACAACTGTTTTGCCCACCCTGCCCCTACCAGGTAAGGAAGATGGGCGCTCCTGCAAGAAGGTGACCATCCGCATGACCATCCGCAAGAACGATTGCAGGAGTAACACCCCTGTGCGTAAAGGGATGGACATCGCAGTGGGCGGCGGGGGGCGGGGATGGAGAGGCAGACCTTCCATGGGCTACCTTGCTGACACGCTCATCCCCAGGTGAACCTGGTGTCTTGCGATGGGAGGTGCCCTTCTGCCAGCATCTACAATCACAACATCAACACCTATGCCCGCTTCTGCAAGTGCTGCCGTGAGGTGGGACTGCAGCGTCGCTCTGTGCAGCTCTTCTGTGCCGCCAATGCCACCTGGGTGCCCTACACGGTACAGGAGCCGACCGACTGTGCCTGCCAGTGGTCCTGAGGCCTGGGTGCCAGGGCTGTCTGGGTCACCCCTACCATCCCCATGTTCTCCTTTCAGCTGGCCTAGGTGATTAGGGGAGAGAGGTTAAAGTCGGGAGAGAGCTTGCTCGTGCTGTGTGTGTGGAACGGTGAACAGCGCCCACAAGGAACCAGGATAGGCCCCCTTGTCCATCCGGGCTCCCCCTCTGGGTCCCTCCACATGCGTGTGGGAAAGTGCCGTTTCTCGGGGCTTCTGGAACTCAACACTACATGGCTTGAGGTCAGGAAGGGGCTGCAGACCCAGTAGCTGAAGGCCCGTACGTTTGTGACTCTGGCCTTGGCTTCTTGCTAGAGGGACTGAGACGTTCCTGATACACTGAAATCAAAGCAGAACCCAGTGCTGGGTTGAGATTTGGTGGCCCTCAACGCAGTGAAAGGAAAAGGTGTTTAAGTAACATCCTGGCCTGTGTCAAGAGGCTTAGGGATCCCCAAAGAAAAGAGGATGAGCCTGGGGGCTCAGGGCTGCGCATGGAGAGCTATGAGGGTATGCTCAGAGGCTGAAGAGTAGGCTAAACTTCTCTAGCCTCAGAGGATGCCCTGATGCTCTGGAATTTAGAAGAGCAGGTCCAGGTCTGTGCCTTTGTGTGTCACACGCCCTCCCTCAAGTCAGCTTGGCAGATGTGTGAAGGATTATCTCCTTAGCAGGCCCTGGGTATCCATGCCACCGCTCTAAGTGGCTCTAGGCTGTAGGTGGCACTTCCAGCCTGAAGTTCTATTCTTTTCTCCAAGGGGATGGATGGCAAGTGTGTCTGTGCAAGGGCTTATTTGTGTGTTTGTGGCTCAGCCAACTCTGGTCATAGTGCTGTCTGGGACTGTGTTGATGGAGAGTGTCTGTAGGTAAAAGTGCAGCCATGTAGGTGTGCACCCCAGCAGCCCAGTCGGAGCCTTGTCTCCACGCCAAAGTGGCCCCTCCCCCAAAGCCAGGGCCAGAGCTCCTGTCCACCTGCCACTCTGCAGATCCCTTCCTCCCTGCGCTGCTTTGTGATAATGGGCCTCAAAGGTCATGACCTGATGCTGTTCGGGTCCCAGCATTGCCCCGATGCCCCTATGGGGTAAAGGCGCTGCGTCAGGACGGTCCCCACATCTGCTTTGCTTCTGTAACTCTTCTGTATTTTGTTCGTGTCTCAATAAACTGCGAGGAGTCTTGCAAGCATCTCTGAGGATGCCAGGCCTGCCTTGGACACAGGGGAGGATCAGCTGTGAGGGCCCCGGGGGTCTGTTGGACTTTTACAGCTTGCCTGACTGTGCCCCAACTCCCACCCAGGCACCTCCCACTGCCTGCTCCTGTTCCCAGCCTTGCAGTTCACACTCCCAGCATGGCTGTAGGTCACTCCTGGGAAGACCAACCACTCCAGGCTAAAACACGTCAGGGAAAGATGAGCAAATCACCAGCCCTGCCCTGTACCGTGAGGCACGAGGGTGAGGACTCCAGGACTGTGCCCCACACCGTGGAGCTGACAGCAAGGGATGGGGACAGAGGACCCTAGTGGTGTCCCGTTGTCCTCAGAAAACAAGACCAGTAGCACCTATGCACAGAATTCAGAAAGCTGGTTGAGAAGAAAATCTTTTGATATGCCATAATGTTTCTAGGCAACTAGTGTAGCTTGGTTGTGGCCCTCCAAAGAGGTACTCAGTGTATCCCTGGAACCTGTGAAGAGGTCTTATCTTACATGACAAAGAGTCTTTCCAGGTGTGATCGAGATGATGGGTTCTTAGAAAGGGGGCAGGAAGACCAGAGTCAGAGAGGATACAGTGACTGGGAGATGGAGTAGGGCTCTCTTCAAAGGAGGGAGGAAGTGGGGACACCCAGGCTTCTGGGCTGGTGTCTTGGTTACTTCTCTATTGCTGTGATAAAACACCATGACTAAGGCAGCTTAGAAAAGATGGTGTTCAATTTGGCTTATGGTTTCAGAAAGTTAGAGTCCACGATAGCAGAGCAAAAGAACATCCAAGAACTCACATCTTGATCCACGACTGTGAGACAGAGAGAGAGAACTGGGGATTGCAAGACCCTTTTGAAATCTCAAAGCCCACCCACAATGGCACAGCTTCTCCAATGAGGCCACACCTCCCAGTCCTCCCCAAACAGTTCTACCAACTGGAGACTAAGATTCAAACATATGAACCCATGGGGGCTTGGTCAGTAAAGGGCTTGCCACGCAAGCATGCAGGGTTCAACCCTTGACCCACTTTAGAAAGCCAGGCATGGGGCTAAAGAGGTAGCTCTGTGATTAAGAGAAGTGCTGCTCTCAAAGATTTGGGTTCAGTCCATGCATGTGCTACACGTACATACATGCAGGCAAACACTCATATTCATAAGAAAACACTCTTTTAAAAAGCTAGGTATGATGGGGTATGTTTGTAGTCCCAATACTGAGAAGATGGACACAGGCAGATTCCTTGGGCTCACTGGCCAGCCAGCCTACCCTAGTCATGTAGACCATGTTCTGATGGGGAACAACACTGGAGATTTAGCTCTGACCTACACACACACACACACACACACACACACACACACACACACACACACACACATATACATGCACACACACATACGCAGTACATACATACATATACATTACACATATACACATACATGCAGACACATACACATATACATACACATATACAGATACACACGTACACACACATAACTACATATACATGCACACACATTCACATACACATATACACATACAATACACACATACACATATACATATGTGCATATTCCCACATGCACACATACACATATACACACATCCAAACACATCCATACATGAGTGCACACACACATTCACACAAAGTGGCTTTTCCTGAGAGCCTCCAGGAAGAACACAAGCCTTCTGGCCTTACCAGGCTCAAATCAAGGGCAAAGAGGCCTGGGACCCAGAACTGTGAGAGCATACATTCACACGGCTTTAAGGCCCCAAGTCCGTGATTTTTGTGTGTGTGTGTGTCATAGCTGCTGCAGTAGGAAATGGCATCTAAACGAGAACCCAACAAAGAAAGCCAAGCCAGGGTACAGGCTGTACGGCGGCCCTGAATTTGAGAACAGATACCAGCGGTGGGTTCCTTCCTGTCAAAGGGGAACAATTAAATGAGCTGGAACAGCCACACTACAGACTAGCATGCACCCCTCTAGGGTACTGACATGTTGAACTCTCCAGCATACGTTACATGACAAAGGCAAATTATGGGTAGGTCCCCACAAAACCTGCCCCTCCTGTTGCCTGTATGTGGGACACACATTCTCATTGGTACTGATCTCATGCCTTTGAAGGGTTTTCACAGCTGAGTATGCCCCTGCCTGGCGATTCTGGCCAAGTAGCTCAATGGCAGCTTTGGTCCTGAAATGGCAGGACCGCGTGGTCATTGGTGTGCACAAGATGCACAGACCAGACTAGACCCAGGACTCTAGGAACATCTGCAACATCTCCCTGCCTAACTCTTCCTCACTCTGCACAGGACATAAAACTAGACAAATCCAGAAGCCACATGTGCCACTGGTAGAGAAACAAGGCCACAATCAAAGGCAGTCACTCGGAGGGTCGGTGGCCAAGCAGGGTGGCTGGCCAGCCTGCAAACGCCATGACTTTGTATTTGCAAACAGCAGGGGGCTTTGCGCTGCAGAGCCATCCCATTCTCCTTGGTGCAGGCTCAAGTTCCCTGCCCTGATTTTCAGGGCTTAATCCTCTTCCTGTGGAAATCAAGGAGGACATTGTGATGGAATGATTCACGTTCAAGGTCAGGCCGCAGCAAATTGGAGGCGACATGCTGATTTTAATGCCCTCACTGACAGGGGAGCCAATCCTGTGCACAGATCACTTAACCCTTTCCTCACCACGCCTGTCACTCCTGTCAGCTCCAAGTCTAGGTCCCAAGGTTGGTGCACCCCCTCTGTGGTCTGTCTCTTGCATTTCCCCAAGGTGCTGAGGTTTCGGTGGTTTGTGGAAGACAGAAGTCAGGGATGGTTTCAAGCTGAAATAAAATGTATAACATTACTAGCCCATTGTGTCCATGAGAAGCTCTCCCTACAGATATTTTGCACCCTAAGCCTTGTTCCAAGTTCTAGGCTTTCCTTGGTTGTCCGCAGGACAAGATGGAGGAGATGGGAAACTAAATTCCTCTGTGTGTGTGTGTGTGTGTGTGTGTGTGTGTGTGTGTGTGTGTGTCCGCGCGTGTGTGCACAATATCTTTCCTGCAGTTCAAACATAATGGAAGTGTATTTTCCCCTCCTATATACAAAAAAGCTTTCAAAATAGGTGGGCCTGAGTAGCTGCAGCTTTGTGTCCAGAATAACCTAGACACCCTGGTTCCTCTTTCTGGAAGGTCCACATGGCCCATCCAACTCTCCCATGGTAGCTCTGCCTATTTCTGCCAGACCTGTGCCCAAGGGTTCAGGGAGCATGCATCATAGGAGTTAGAGGATGCTGTAGTAAATGAAAAGTGGATTACTTCCTGCAGTTCTCATTACACTGTCCTGAACAGAGGCATTGGTCACACCTAACTGCAAGGGAGGCTGGGAGATGTAGTCCACCTGTATGCCCAAGAAGAGGACGTACCTAACTGCAAGGGAGGCTGGGACATGTAGTTCACCTGTATGCCCGGGAAGAGGAAGACATGTGTCTGGTGGATGGAGTCTTGGGAGGAAACAGAGACTGAAGAAAATGCAACTGAGAAGTTTGAGGACAAAGGAAAGTCAGGTCATGTGGTCATAGAAGGATTCTTTTCTTCTTCATGAAACAGTTAAGATAGGACTTTTAGGGAGAAGTCCAGAGTCACAGAGGATATGTGCTGGTATGAGAGGGGATTGGATCCAAGTGCCTCTGGCTGGGTGGACACTGCCTTGGATTTTTATTGATTTGTATCTCCAACACATAACACAGAGATCACAGAAAAATGAGTCTGAGCATGCTGGTAAGTCTGATGGTGAAGAGCCTGGACAGCAAGGAGTTAAAAGAGGCTGGGGTGAGTAGAGCTGGAGAGCCAGGTGCCCCCCAACACACTGTGGCTGTGTCAGTTAATCCCCTGCAGCAGGCAGGAGGCCTGCACAGCTGTCTCTTCCAAGCTGGAACTGCACCTTCCCCCAGCTGCCCCCGGCCCCTTGCCCAGGGATCTGGACTGCCCAGGGATTGGGTAAAAGCGGGCGACACTGGGCAGTCAGCATGGGCGGGGGGGGGGGGGGGGGGGCGACCGGCCCATCCCTAGCACCCTTGGAAAGTCCATTTTCTAAAGCTTGCTGTTCCACCCTCATTTGTCATCACACACACACACACACACACACACACACACACACACACACACACGTCCCTCTGGTCAGGGCCTACCCTGAGCCAGCCAAACCGGAGGCTGCACGGTACCTATTCCTGCTCCTATGCCTTTGTCTCACCTGGAATGACTTGTTCCTTCTTCCCGTGCCCGCCCTTCAGAACAGCTGCACAACCCCAGCCCACAGACTCTCGCCCTTTGGCATCTACCGCCTGACCTACCGTCCTACAGTCCTGGAGTCTGCCTGTCTGGGACTTGCCTACCAGACTGCATCCATGCTCTCTATGCAGGAGAGGGGCATGCAGGCTTGCTCCACAGTAATTCCTTCATACACCCACATCTTCATTCATGTTAGACAAGAATGTAAGGCCCAGAAAGAGCAAGGTGTGTGCACAGCTGAAGAGTAGAGGAATCGGGGCTTGAGCCCACACTTGTTATAAGAGTCCCCATCCTCAGACTTCCCTTCTCAGTCAGGAAAAAGGCAAGGGGGACACTGGGGTCCCAGGAGCTAGTAGGTAGGGGACATTGACAGTCACCACCCTTCACGGTGAGGGGGAGCAACAGGTTTTGCATCGCAGAGTTGGCATGAGGGTCAAGTGAGATCATGGATGGGACAAGGCCAGACAACTGCAGAAGCTTCTGAGCCAGGGATCCCATCCACTGGGTCCAGGACAAGAGAGAAGCAAGAGCGCAGAGCCTGACCAGCCCCAACTCACCCCTACCCAGCAGGCTTTGGACGCTAAGTTTTGGCTATGTGCACCAGCCAGCCATTCCATTCTGCCTCAGTTTCTCCTCACAGGGACACTGGTTAGAGACAGTAAGACATGACAAGGGAGCAGGAAGCATTAGGAAAGACTGGACTGTGCGGTTAGGGTGTGGCTCCAAACAGCTGTGTGATTTACCCAGGCCAAGACTTGGTTTCCTCACACCCTTGGCTTGTAGAGGACATTTAATGGGTTTAATGAATTGCTATGACTGTGTGAGAAATGAACAGCATGTCTTGTATGTATGTATGTATGTATGTATACATGCAGGCACAGACCTGTGGTCTGTGTGTGCATGGGTGTACCCTATCACTCATGTGGAGATGGAGGACACCTTGGGGACTCTATTCTCTCTTACTACCATGTAGGTTCTAGGCATTGAACTCAGGTCATTGGCCTTGAAAGCAAGCATCTTTGCCGGCTGAGTCATCTTGCTGGCCGGCCCAAGGCTGTCTTCTTCAAGCTCCACGTTTTTCAGGAGTCAGAAGCTGATCCCAGAGAGAGTGGCACACCCAAGGTCTCACGGCACTGAGCCACAGTGGAGAAAACATCAGACCCCAGACCTGGTGTTTACCACAGGCCTCTACTGTGGCTTCTCCCATCCACTCAGCATGCCCTCCCTGCTCTGGCCGCACAGCCTCTAATTGCTGGTCAGCCATGGGGCTTCCAGGAACCTCCTTCCTAAGACAGGGAGCGCTCCAGGTAGGACCTACTCCACCTATTTCTGCATGAGTCTCTTGCAAATGGGTTACTACCAGGACGGGCCCTTTGCAGACCTAGCTATGGAAGCCAGTCCCTTGAGGGGCTCCCTAGAACATGACTGAACAGGGTGGCATCAGCTCCCAGGATGGAGTGGAGAGAAAAGAAAGCGAAGGAAGGGTTAAAGGCTCGGCGGCTCGGGCGGCTGGAGTGGGCAGCCTGCAGACAGCCCAGCCCAACAGCGATGGGAGGCCCGAACCATTCCATTCCTTTGCAGATCAGTTACACCCAGCTGTCTCCCTCCCTGCTGCCAGTGCCCCTTGGATTAGGCGGGAAAGGCTCCCCGGCACACGGCCCATGGGGAGCAGCGCCTGCAGCCCACGCCTCCACGACAGCTGCCGAGTGTCAGGCAAGAACATAGATCAGCGGGATCCCAGCAGAGGTGCCCCAAGCCCGGTCCCCCTCAACATGTGCAGGAGGGGCTTGCCTGAGGAGAGAGGGGGTCTGTAAGGGATTTGAGAGGTACAGGGAAGGGATTGCTCCCAAAAATATCTCCTCTGTCCATGTGCCATTGCGCCTCAAATTCCACCGTCAGACATCTTGAAACTTCGGCTCACCCAAGGACGCCAACTAAAAATAATGTCCCATAGAGTTGCTGGAATTCTGAGGCATTGTTGATAGAATACATGAGAATTTTATTCTGTTTTACAAATTATATAGCTATCTCTTTGTCTCAGTAGTTCTACTAAGGACATTAAATCAAAGAATTTGTCTTAAAGAAACAGGATATAGCATGGGAGAAGAGGCTACCATTACAAAGTTAAAAACCTAAAGTTACAAATATTATCAAAATGCAAAGCCAGAAAAGATGACCAAAAAAAATTATAGAACTTGAAAATATCTGTACCTGTTATGGAAAATGGGAAACAATTCCATTAAAGCCCAGAAATGAAAATTTTCTAGAATTTTCCAGAAGATTCCAGGGTCAAGTAAGCAGGAGGCATTGCGGAGTGCCAGCTGGACAGATGGCTATTGATTACTGACCCACGCCGAGCTTCAGTTGGCTCAACTGGAAAAATCAGAATAATAGTTAGGATATTCGGGGGCTCCAAGGGGATTAGAAGAGAGCCTTTGAGGCAAGCATCCCTGTGACCCTGCTATCGAAGGCCAGGTCCAGGGAAACCAGTGTCACTTCTCCCCTCCCACCTGCTAACGTTGTGGCAAAGAATATCCTCAGAACACTGATTCTGACTAAGCAATTCTGGTTGTTATACATACTGTTGTTATTTATTTAAAAACATGGACAACTCTGAAATGGTGTCTGAATTGAGTGGGAAGGGTAGATGGATGCCCTTCAGTGAAGCATCATCTATCAATCAATAGGAAGATATTCTAATTAACAATTCCTAGCGTGATTCATGAAGATGTTATCCATGTACTTGGAAGCTGATATGTAACAGGATAAGCACGCACGCAAATAAGAGCTTTTATAAATTAAAACCATCTATGATCTGTTTCCATCACAAGAAGCACCTGATACCTGAACTTGTAAACAACTAGAAAATTGGTCAAATTGAAAACAAATTTCATTTGTTTTCAGACTTTGGACAAAAGGCAATAAAAAGCTGGGGCTCCCAAAAGAAAGGAAACAAATCAAATAATTCTTATTAGACAGCTCCAATTTCTTCCCATACCACGCTCTTGAATGAGGAACAGCAAGGAACATCTAAGCAGAACATGGTGGTCTCGCTGACTTGAAGAGATGAGACCGAGTTCAAGTAGACTTTAGTAACTGGAGTCTGCAGGGCAGAGTACCAGGCCAGGGAGCCAGTAAGAGAAAGAGTTCCGGAACTTGCATAGACTAAGGCAGTTGCTGAATACTATCCTGTACTCCTACAGTGCAGACCCCACACAGCTGGGCAGAGCAACAGTGAACTGAGCAGTTCCTGAAGCTTACATGGGGCTGCGAGGCATTGATTTCCTACCAAATCTGGAGCAGACACACTTCACTGACAATATTGGACACTTAATTGAGCCACAGAAAGAGTCACACCTTAGAAGTAAAATGAAATTATCCCAAGAGTAAAGGGCTTAAACTAGCCCAATTCAACATCGAAACCAGCCCCAAATTCATTTCTGATACATAAATACCTTAAGCACAAGACACACTGAAGTCTGAAAATTCTTTCAAGGAAAAATTTTAGACGTTCAATGTAGTTGAAGCTTTCTCCAGTCCTGCCTGGCCCACGGTCAGGACAATTCTCTCTCACCCGCCAGTCCTGCAGCCACTTAGACCCAACCAAGTAAACACACAGAGACTTATATTACTTATAAACTCTATGGCCATGGCAGACTTCTTGCTAAATGTTCTTCTATCTTAAATTAACCCATTTCTATTAATCTATAAGTTGTCACGTAACTTGTGGCTTACTGGTATCTTAACATCTGCTTCTCATCATGGCGGCTGACAGCGTCTCTCTGCCTCAGTCTTCCACTTCCCAGGATTCTCCTCTCTCCTTGTCCCGCCTATACTTCCTGCCTGGCTACTGGCCAGTCAGCTTTAGTTATCAATCAATCACCCACAGCAATTCAACTACATGATAATAATTATGTATAGATTGCAGTAAGAAATTATTACACATATAAAGCAGAATGTGACTAATATAGCAAAGAGAAAAATCAGTCAATAGAAACAGGCCTGGAGAAGACACCTTGAAGATGACAAAACAGATTGTATTTCCCTCCTCTTATTTATTTTTTTTAATGTTTTTCTTATGATCTTTTAAAATGTGTATGGGTGCTTTGCCTGCACGGATGTCTGTGTGTGCTGGTTGCCTACAGAGGTCAGAAAAGGGTGTCATCTCTTGGAAGTGGAGTTATAGATGGTTGTGAGCTGCCATGTGGATTTTGGGAATTGAACCTAGGTCCTCTGGAAGTGCAGCCAGTGCTCATAACCACTGATACATCTCTCCAGGCCCATACCTCTACAAATTTAAAAGGAAACACTTGATCCATGGCTGCAAAAAGAGGTGAGAAGTGTGGAAAGGAAAGGGGAAATCACAATAAATAGCAACTGTGAAGACTAGATAAAATACAGATGTATAACATGCTAGATTTATGAGGAAAATAACAGCCTGAAACCTAGAGCAATAAACAAAGCATTGGAGGAGGGTGAGGAGCACCCCCTCCACCAACTCTGAGTACAGAAACAAAAGATTAGAGAAAAATCCCCAGAAGCAAAAATAGAAAAAAAAAAAAAAAAAAAAAAAGGAGAACAGAGGCATAATCCACATGAAACAGGGACTAGGAAATCCAGTACCTTCCATCCTCCAAATAATACCTGTCACACTGGGCCATGGAGGGAGCCGATCCAAGAGAAACTACAGCCAAACTGCCTGCTGGGAATTGTAGAAGACTCCACAGAACTACAACTCC